ATACACATATATATATATATATATATATATATATATGTTGGGTATATAACAAATACACTAACAAGAATGCTTACACTGCATATGTTCAACCTTTTGTCCATTGCGAGACATTTACAACAACATTCCTGTCCACATTCACAATATAAAGTATTACTAATCAACAACACAACTATTCTACGCCATGAAAACAACAAATTTAGATTACAGATATTAGAAGCAATTTATATTAAAAAAAATTAAAGCCATCACTGAAAAGAATCAACTATGAATACTGCACACTATTTAAATTATTTGGACTATTGTCCTCATCTTTGTTGCCATATTTATCACAACCTTTTGGCCGTTGTACGCTCCGGCCCTCTTCAGGTGGTTGGAATGTCGAACTGAACCCTTTATTTCACTCACTGGATAGACTGTTCTAGTTCCACATGCAATCTTTAATGGATGTCAGTTATCAGTTATCTCCTGTTAATTGCCTCTCCAAGTTCTCCGCTGCCTTAACCGGGTATTGAACTCACACTCTTTGGATCCTGTCACTGGACACATGGCACAGTGGATAAAGGTGTTAATGGTAGATTTATAAATGTGCAAGATGGATTCTGAGAAGAAGAATTGTCTGACACAACACAGTGAACCAATTTTCCTAGCAGTACATGTAGCAATTGATTCAATATAATCACTCCACTTCATGACAGTAGAAAATGTAAACCCAAGAAGGTGCAAAGTGTTGCTCTCCTGGAGTTTAGCATCAGCCATGCTGACGGTAGTCAGAAAAGGTTCTCTGTGATGATTAAATGAAAGCAGTTTTCTTTTGGAGGCATTAAAATTTACAAGCCATTTCTTTGCCCCAGTTAACCACTGATTGGCAGTCCTTTTTGAGAGCAGTTGCCAGATTTACTTTGTCAGATCTGTTGGACTTGCTACCAAGATAGGAGTGAATAGTTGTGTCCTCTGTATACATGCCTAGTTGGGAATTGATGACATCAGGAAGGTTGTTCGTGAAAATCAGAAACAGAGTAGGACCCCAGCATTAATAGGAAATGACCTAGAAGCATGCCTGTTTAATGCAACCTTCCTTACATGATATTGTTAGGAATGATTAGTTTAAGCCAAATATTTGTCCTGTGACACTGTAACCCTTGAGCTTGTGGAGAAGCCAGTATGCCAAAATCTATCAAATACTTTTAAGATATCTAGCTACAGCCCAAAAGCAAGAGAGTTCCACAAATGAGAAATGCGAAAGAAGAAACTGTTAGCATAAAACTTATGGTTACATCTACCCATTTCAACTGTAAAATGATGAGACCGAACTGCCAATCTAGTAATGCACTTAAATTTATAAAGTCGAAATACCCAAGAGCTTATCAGAACAGTTACCATGAAAATATTTATAGAAAAGGCCGAGGGAAGCTACTTTACAGTGGTGGGAAGGTGACTGAAGCTAAGATGCTAGGTGAAGACAATGCAGATTCTTCTTTGGATTTTATCAAGAATTTCTAAATTCATAGCAGAAGCACCAGACCAGATGTGACAACAATATTCAATGAATGGTTGATTTATAAATGTATAAAATAGATTCTGTCGAGGAAAAAAATTATCACATAAAAATAAAACAGATCATCACTTTCATTTCAAATATGCCATCTTTAATCAGTATACCATACATACCCATCAGATGCATTTTTCAAATATACCACCTTTAATCAGTATATCATAAATACCCATCAGATGCATTTAACCAGTATACCATAGATACCCATCGGATGCATTCAGCACCTCGAGGCAGTGTAATGGTTAGCTTATCTCGCTAGAACATTTACAACTGAATAGAGAGTTTGATCCTTACTGGGTGCCCCATACTTTCAGCTTTGTGCCACATCTAAGCTACACTTGGAAAATCACTAGATATCCAACAGATGCATTTTTTCAAATCTGCTGCCTTTAACCTGTATACCATAGATACCTATCAGATGCACTTTTTCATATCACCAATATTCATTAAACCTCTACTAAAAGACTGAAACATCCAAAACTTTTACAAGTGATGTAATCATATATTGCACATTCTCTTCTAATACTCGTTATATTTATTATGCAATTAAAATGCACTAATATAATCAGTTTTTAATACATATTTACAGTGGTGGTTTGGGTCTAAAAATATTGGTTGCCAGGAGACAAAGGAGCCCACCCACAACTAAAATGCTATCATTTAATTTTCATAATGAATAAATAAAACTCTCAAAAATACATCTGGGAAAAAGGTATAATTAAAATTTTTGTAGAAAAAATAATCTTTATATTTCTCATAATAATACAAGTATTATTTTCTTAAAAAAAAGAATTTTAATATATACTAGACCACCTGTGCCTCATTGGGTTAACCTTGTTTTGTTACTGTTTACACTTAGTTTCATGAAGAGTTTGTGAAAGTAAAGATATTTTAATACATTTATTTTCATTTATTGAAGTTACTTTCAACATTAAAAAAATTGTCTCTTTCAAGAAAGTTGAAATAAAAATACGTACTGTATAAACAAATCATATTTTTGCATCATATTATAAAACATTGAAGTTGCTTTCAACATTAATAAAATTGTCTGTTTGAAGAAAGATGGAATAAAAATATTTAAAATATTGATTGTTTAAAGAAAGCTGAAATATAAATAAGCACACACGCAATCACGGGAAGATGGAAAGAGACAGATGGGTGGAAAGAGAGAGCTTCTTTTTTTTTCTACATTTCCTTCTCTCTCCACCCGCTTCCTACTCAATAATAAATTCATATCTTTCTTTCACCCACTCTCTATATATGACTTCTGGCAAACACACAAGCAACATTTACAGATTTTTATAGTAATAAAGATTTTCTAGTAATTACGGTGTACATATACTGTACATATTACTGGCAATCAGTGCCAGATTTACATATAGACTAGTATGGGTTGCAGCCCAGGGGCCATAAGATTAAAGGAGTCCTCTAGTCTTGGGCCCTTGATAAAAGTTTAAAAAAATAAACATATAAGAACAGAGGAGATTTGTTTATTTTCAGAATTATGTTGCTCCTTTGAACTAATTTGAAACAATTTGGAGTATTGGGCCCCTATAGTTGGAGTGGGTTTTTAAATTTGAAGGGGTCCTATTTAGATTTTTTATAGTATGGTGGGAGGGAACAACATATGTAATGAAGGGATCCCCAAATTCTATTAAACCAGGGGCTTCTTAAGACCTAAATCCGGCCCTACTGGCAGTGGATACCAAATGTAAATACTAAATGTTATAAGTGAATTATTTTTTTTTTAATTTTAATTGGTTGATATTTTAAAGTAGTTTACTGCTCAATTTACACTTTAGCAGATAGTTCAAAAGCACAATAGAGCATTGCATGCAGTCCTCAATCTTAAGAGCAATCATTTGTGTTTACTAGACGATTGTTCAAATCTGCCAATACTTGTTTCCATATCCACTTCATTTAAAAATTCCTTTTCAATGCATAGCAATATCTATGATTCCAAATTCTTCTCAGACAGCAAATTTCTTAATCTTGTCTTCATGAGCTTTTTGAAAATGTCTTCTCATGTTGGACTTGAGTAACTGATAATTAGCAGATGATTTTATGAAGTTCTTATTCCTTTTATTAAAAAAGTTGCATTTTTATTTGATATAGTGGTGGTGGTGGGGGGGCACTTGTCATCGAGCAAACTAACACCCTGACCAGTTCACCATTGCACATTTAAGTTATGCTAACATTTCCAGAATTAAACACATGATGCCCACACAACAAAACTTATATACTGTACATACTAATGGCATAAAATAAACATGGGACATTTACACACCCAATGAAAACAAAACCGCATAGAATTTTTACAAATTGAAAGTAACCCTCCACATTATTTCACTTCCCAAATTTCTGTTGAAACTGAATAAATAGCAAAAAATCCAATTTTATAAAAATTTTCCTACTTGTTCCTTACAGGAAAGAAACGCTATTTCCAATACAACTTTATTTTTTTACCCAATTGAATAACTAATATTTCAAACATGCCAAAAAGAAATCCACAATAATACAACGTAACATACACTTGTCTTGTTAAATGCTGAATTTTCTTTATGAGCATAACTTTAATTTTAAAAGATACCTAAGAAGAAGGAAGGTTTGTGGCATGTTTTGAGCGCCTACAAAGAATTGTAACGTCGCATTTCAAGCCTTCCACATCAACTACAGCAGACGACAAACCTCGACCTTCGAAATCGAGTCGGGTAGGCAAAAAAAATAAAGGTTGTTTGGAGGGAATTTGAGAGAAGGCATACAATTTCTCTGTATAAATTAATAATTGCTTCTTAGCTTTTCTCAATTTACTGGGAAATCTTGCGTAAAGCGAATTCTCGAAAAGCCGGTTACACTTTTACCTAATTTTTGAACTAAAAAAACCAAGATTTTCAACCTAAATTTAAAAAATGCTGCAAATGAAAAAAAAAATTTTTTAAATAATTAAAAAATACCTTGGTCTTCCCTCTTTAATTTTAACATAAACATTTACACCTTACAATTTTTTTTATCAATTTGGGGACCTTTTTTCTCCAGGGTATACCACTTTTTTAGCGTCACCTGGGACAACCCTACACTTGTAAAATTAGTAAATTACGTTAAAAAAGGGATTTTTTAAACAACGAAAAAACCAAAGTTTGCATTTGAAGGATCACGAAAAAAAATTTCCACTTTCAACCCAAACTTGCTGAATTAGATCAAATTATTTAAGGAAAATGTTAATTTAAACTAAAACAATAAAATACAGAAATAAATTATAAATAACTAAAAAAAAAAAAAATCTTGGTAAGGATTTATTTTTGTTTACCGGAAGTTCTATTCACATGTGATGACTGATATCGCCAAAAACCGGAAGTTATCTTACAGTTGATGTTTCTACTTCTTGTTGCACGTGGGCTGGCTATTCGTGGGTTTACGGGATAAAAACAACGAAACAAAGGTCCCGAAAATGCTTACTTCAAAGACATTTTTCAAAAAAACAAAGAAAGGAGGTGTGACTAAGATCAACCGAGAACATTATCTTCGGGATGATATCGCTTGTGGTTCTGTTTTATGCGACAAATGTGGTCGTCTCGGAGGCAAACCTGTCCTTCAGAAGTCTACTTCTGTTCTAAACCTAGACGATCAAAACTTAAACATTCATCATTATTTGATTCCTGATACAAATGTTGTTATGCATCAAGTGAGTCAGATTGTATTTTATCTATTAGATAATTTATGTATTATGTTTTTATGAGATTGGAAATTTTAATTTTTCCTTTGTTTGATAAAATAATGAAAAGTTTGCACGCCAAGTGACAAAAACTATGATCAGAGTTCCAATGTTACAAAAATTGGATTTAAAACTAGTGTCTCTAGACTAGACGCAGACTTATTTGTTAAAAAAATATTGAACCTTTAAAAGGTTAGAAAAAAGCTTAACTATCGTTTACCGGGCACTTGATCATGGAGGAAGACAACTACTCAACTGGAATGCAACAGATCTTAAATAAACTTACAGTGCTGATTAATATTTAATAATAATTTATTAATTCCATTTTTAGTTAACTAAACAGAAACTGTTTTATTGAAATCGCTGAGTGCCCCCAGGACGTGTGCCCGGTAAACGGTAGTCAGGTCAAGAAAAATAATAAAAATACTTTGTCTTGCATTGATTTTTTAGTTTAAAACTGAATGTGGATTTGAAAATTAAGGATTAAAAAATCACAATAACTTTCAATAATAATTTTTATCTTAAAAGTTTTGATTTGTTCTTTTTTTTTTTTTTTTTAAAAATGTTTTATTTTCCACTGAGCGATTTTAAAACATCTTCCCAAAAATCATTGATTTTTACATTTTCCAATACGAGTGTGTGTGTGTGTGTGTTTATTTTTTTAATTTTTTGTTTTATTTTCATAGAAAGAAGGTGCCTCTGACTAATAAAATTAGGATTTACTACGGTAAATTTGCAATTTAAGGAAATTTTATACGGGGCTTAAACTGCAAAATTACAGAACATTTGTATAGATTCGCTCTCTAAACATCTTATTAGTTCTTTTAAAAAATAAAAATTATATTTTTTTTTCATCATTTCTTTACTGAAATTTCTTTCCTTGTTCCTACGAGACATGCATCATAAGTTCGACTCGACTTTTAGTTTCAGCACAAAAATATTAAAAAGAAAGCCAAAGAAAAAAAAACCTTGTCTATATTTTCTCAGCCAAAATTGTTTTTCCTGTGATTCAGTAACAAAAACAACATGGAAATAAACATTTTTTTATAGATTGTGCCTATCTAATTATTTTCTTCATTGAGGTTGATTGTTTAAAAAAATCGTTTCGGTTTAGAGAGGTATAAGAAAAAGTTTGGATTTCAAATCTCTCGGCAAAATTACTTCGCTCATTCTCTTTTCAATCCATATATAAACGTTGGTGAGTTTCATGATGATGTCACTGTTCTGTAACTAGGACGTCCTTACTCTCCATTTCAATATCAAAATAACTTTAAAATTTACTGTTTAAACAATTGACATTTTCGCTGAATTTTGTCAAACTGAGTTATCTCCCCTTTTTTGTTAGTCTTTCACTTTTTAAATTTCTAAAGCAGAAAGAAAATTTATTCAATCAATTGTTTAAAAAATTTAAAATAAATAATAATGCAGATAGACGAAATTCGATCCAACATGTTTCTAAAATAATTTTTTAATTAATGCAGATGGTAGAAACGACCTAAGCATTACGTTAGGAAAAAAAGCAGCAAAATACTGAAAGTAAAACTAGTTCTTTTTAAACTTAACAGGATTTCATCCAAGCAAATTGAAAGTCTTTTTAAATTGTATTCTTTATATTTTGCGATTCAGAGCAGATTTCCGGTATATGGTGTTTCTGTTTGACAAAAACAAATTGATTTAAATTCTTCTAGGAGTCCTGCTAACGGCAGCTAACATATGAAAAGCCTGAAATTTTAATTTCTTGAAATTCCATAAAACTAAGTGGGTGTAATGTGTAACATGTAAAAAAAAGAAAAAAAAAGATTTCTACCAAGATTTTCTAAAAAAATTTCACAAATAATTTATTCATTTCATTTGTGAATAAGCCCTGAAAATTTCATTAAAATCTGAAATCATTTGATTTTTGCAAGAATTTCCAAAACAATGTATTTTTGATGCCAGAAAAGATGCTCTACTAGTCTAAAATTACCCAGACTAATCTTAAGTTCACCCGGTGATGCAGGAAAAACAAGATTTTTAACCAAAATTTCGAATGTTCTAGAAAGAATTAAAAAATTTAATAAATTAATCAATTTCTCTTTTTATTTGTATGTTTTTTATTATATTTTTTATACATTTTTTTTTCTTTGGATAATAACAGTTTACTACTCATATCACAGGCAATGCCATCATCCTCACCCTGAACAAAGGGAAAAGAATAGCATAGGATTTTCTCTTTTTACTTTTTAGCTTTTCTTTTTCTTTTTTCCTCTCTTCTATCCATTTGGTTGTCTTTTCTTAAGATGGACAAGCTTTACACCTTTTTTTTTTTTTTAAAATAAAAATTAATATAACGCAGGTAAATTCTACCGTACATTGAATATTGCTGTCACATATGGTCTGATGCTTTTAAAAAGATACTTGAACTTAAAAATCCAAAGAAGAATCTGCAATGTTATTGGTCCTAACTTTGGCTTCAGTCACTTTTCCTGCTATCGTAATGTAACTTCTCTGTGCCTTTTTATAAATATTTTCATGGCAATTTACTCACTCTCTTTTTTTTTTTTTTCTTTTTTTTTTTTTTAAATGAAACTTTTCCTCTTTGGTACCATGACTTTGCACAATACTAGATTGATAGCTTGAATTTTATCTTTTTATAGTTGAAATGGCAAGAGACACAACCGCAGTTTTTTTTACTAACAGTTTCTTCTCGCGCATTTTCCTTTGTGCAACTCTCTTCTGATCTTACTTTCTAGTTAATTTTGATCTTCAAAAATTTAAATGCAATGTCAATCGGTATCTTCTGTCTTCTTTTTGTTTCTTTAACAGCATATCAACTCCTTATGGGTCATTTAATGCAAAAAAATTTCTTGGGAGTATTAGTAATTTCTTTTCTTGAAAAACATATACTATCTTTTTATTTTTATAAAAATGTATTGCTGGTAATATTTTTTCTTTTTACAAAAATGTATTACTGGTAATTCCTTTACTATGAAAATACATTGTTGGCATTTCTACTACAAAAATGTATTTTTATATTTTCATAGTGTTTTGGCCCCTGTTTGGGGGTTAACTATTTGTTCATAGCTAAGACCCTAACAGATGCTACCTTTCCAGGTCATAGTGGACCTGGGAACAACAACAATAATTAAGTGGCAGTTCTATGCTCCTCAAAACCTCATGATCAAAGGCCTTGCTGCCAGATGTAGTTCATCATCATAACTAGGACATCTTCTTAATTCATGTTCTTTTATTGTTCTCTCTCCTTAATGTTTTTCTTTTTCTCATTCTATCACACTCTGTAACCCCCTTGCATCTTAGTGACTTTATTATCTTGCTTGGGGTGAAATGATTTTTTAAAAAATTCAAACATACCATTTTGTAGCTGCATTAGTATTTATAACAAGACAATTGTAAAGTTCTTACGGACTTTATTTTCATATCTTTGGCAAATATGTTGCTAATAAAATTACAAATTTCTTTTTCTTCACAGCTGGATATCCTTGAAGATGCCTTCATCACAAATGTTATCATTCTTCAAACTGTTATTGAAGAGGTAAAATACTCTTTGTTGTCGTTTTGTTTTCTAATCTTATTATTTCTTCTATAATTTTTTATTACATTCAGTGATCTTGGAAGCTTATAACCATATCACATTGTAACACCAGTTCTCATATAATCACCAAAGTTAAGTGTGACAAAAGAAATAAGATAAAGAGAAGTAAAGTGAATGACAGAATACCACCTAAGTTTTATAGTAAACAAAGAAAAGGTTTTATTATAATTTTAGTGATTATGGTCAGTGGCTAAAAAGGAAAAAAGAACAAAGGCTTACTGGCAAGCAGTTAGAAATACTTCAAAATAACTTCAGTCAGAAGTTGCTGGGATTTTGTGGTATAGTTCACATGTCAGGTCAGCCAATATTAGTAAACTGACTTCTCTGAAGCAGATTTCTGCAACAATTGACTTTTCCAGTCAAGCTTAATTTTGGTACCAACCAATGAATATAAACACCCAGATGAAAGACCTCTACTTTGTAAGTTCATCTGACCACATGAAATGACCCAGAACTTGGAGAAGTTTCATTCATAAAAAATAGATTCTCTTAACATAAGTAATATCAAGCTTGGTCAGTACTTCTATGGACTGAGAGCTTGGAAATATCAGGTGCTTGGATGTGCATGTGGTGTAATGGATAACAGCTTGGAATTTGAAATCAGAGAGCTGAGTTCCAATTCTAGTTGGGTTTGTTATATTCATTTACATGCAAATACCCTTGGGAAAGATATGAATTCATCTCTTCTCTTTGATTTCCAATCCCAAGCTGTTATCCATTATACTACATGCAGGTGTAGTAAATGAATCGGTCAAACAACTTTATTTTATTTCTTTTTAATATCACAGAAGTAATTTTCTTTTATGATTTATTTTTAGGTAAAAAACCATAATATTGCTGCATATAAACGACTTCAAGAAATGATTTGTAATCCTGCAAAGTCCTTCTATGTTTTCAGCAATGAATTCCATCAGTAAGTTGAATTCTAATTTTTTCTGTATTATTTAAAATGCTTTTTTAGACATTTTGTCCTGATTTTGGGATTTTAGCTGTTGTCTTGAACTCCAAGAAGAATTTTGATATATCATGACTTGCAAATGTAAGTTTGTGTTCTGAATAGAAAGAAAACTAAACCAATTTTCATGGAAGCGATGAAGTTGCTGTTTGATGGGCCAACGTAAAGAGACAAAAGGATACAACATTAACAGTGACATGATTGCAAATATTTAAGTTTGAATTGCTGTGACAGTGTTTGAAATAATATTGGAATTGTTTCATTATATTCACTCTGAAGGCACAAGGCCATAATAGTGAGGTGCCCAATGTGGATCAAACTACTTACAATGAGATTTCTTTCTAACATCTACATTAGTCTCTAAGTTTGTTGGGAAAGGTAAACATTAGTGCTGTTATATTTTAATCTGGAAATAAGATGCTGGGGGATTCCTGGCTTCAGTGGCAATGTAAGTTTTAATATATAAATGTGTCAGCATTTTGTTACAGTCAATGACAAGTCAAAACAAAAGCATTCTCCTTTTATCGCCTGAGAGAACCCTTTTTGCCTGATATCAGCATGGCTGATGCTAACCTCATGGAGAGTGACTCCTTGCACCTTCTCAGGTTAACATTTCCACAGACATGATGTGGAAAGATTATTTTATCAATTGCTATGTCTGCTGCTGGGGAGGTTGGTTCACTGTGTCATGCTAGACTGTTTTTCTCACTAGAATCTCTTTTACAAATATATAAACCTGCCATTCATCCCTGCATTGAATATTGCTGTCACATCTGGTCTAGTGCTTCTGTTATTCATTTAGAGATTCTTAATAGAATAGAAAGAACAATCTGCAATGTTATTGGTCCTGACCTGGCATCTCAGTTTCAGTCGCTTTCGCACCACTGTAACTTAGATTGTCAGCACCTTTTCTATAAATATTTTCATGGTAATTGTTCTGATTAGCTTTCTTCTTTGGTACCTAGACTTTATGAATTTAAGTGCAGTATTAGATTGGTGGCAAAGACTCATCATTTTACAGTTGAGGTGGTTAGATGTAACCATAAATTCTATGCTAACAGTTTCTTCTCTTGCAGTTTTTTCTTGTGGAACTCTCTTCCGATTTCTTGCTTTCAAACCAACTTTGATCTTCAAAATATAAATGCAGTGTCATTCATTATCATCTGTCTTCTTGATTGCTATTCTTTTCTTTTTCTCATATTCTCACACACTTGGTAATCCCATCTTAGTGGCTTTATTGCCTTACTTGGGATGAGATGATTAACAGATCGCGACATCTATCAGAGATGAAATTTAAATTTTTATTATTGGATTATTCCAAAATTTTAACACATCAGCAGATAGCTATTAATGTAGACAACTGAGCACAAATAGATATTAATTAAAAAAATTAGTAATTAATGTATAATATTATCCATAACTACATGTACAAGAATGTCATTTTTGATAAAAGTTAAAAAATAACCATAAATACATAAAAAATGTGTATATTGTTGAAAATTCCTTTTTCCACAATAAAGCTATTTGTGCTGTGTTATAATGCTTATAACCTAAACAATAATAATACTGAATTATTTATTTTTTAAGCATTAAAGTATATTTAATCACATTTCAATGATAGCTGTCATAATCTGTAAAAAAAAAAAATACATCTGTTCGGCAATGAGTTTTACATTTTATGGTCTTTGAAAATTTTTCTTTGCTCATCTACCATTTTAACAAATCACCAGAGGCATTAATACAATAACTTGATGTTAAGGCTGTTTATTAGAAAGATCTTAGGAGCCTAATTTTTATCTGATTTGAGTAATTCTTCTTCATTTGAATCCTTTCAGAGCCACCTATATTGAACGGAAGCCTGCTGAATCTTCTAATGATCGAAATGACAGAGCCATCCGACAAGCTACTAAGTGGTATCAAGATCACTTAGACAATGCTGGCAATACCAAGGACAAGATAAAAATGGTATTATTGTCTGATGACAAAGAGAACAGAACTCAAGCTGAAGAAGATGGCCTCTTAGCATATACTGGTAAGTGAATACTTAAATTAACTGTTTTTACTAAGTATGACCCACTTTTTAAGAAGGAAACTTCACATTGTATCTATCAATATGTCCAAATTCTTTCTTTGTTGCCAAGAAATATTTAGTTTTTCTAATGCAGAAAATGACAAACAAAAAAGTCTTTTTTTTTTTTTTCTTTCTGATGTTCTTTGAAATTTTTGTTTTTTTTTCTCTTACCTGATTTTTTTTTTGTCCCCTTGTTTTTAGGCTGCCTTGTTTTGTTTGATTTTTGTTTGTTTGTTTTTTTTTGGGGTTTTTTTTCTTGGGCTGCTTTTTTTCTTTTTCTGTCTTGTTTCTTTTATTGTTTCTTTTTGGATAGGGGGCACTTGTTACTTATTTATATAGAGTAATGTGAACTACTAGAACCATAATCAAGATTAAAATTATTTGAAGTTTAAAAAAGACCTCCAGTTGTTGTTGTTGTTGTTTTTTTTTAATGAAAAATTTTGCAATAAATTTAAACTCTTCTTCATTGTCTTAAATAATCCATGCTAAGGTGGGTTATTATGGTTAGGGTGCTTCAGGATGTGAATTACATCTAAATAGTTTCTGCTTTTACTAGTTAACTATAGTAGGTGACTACTTTTGTCCATCTAAAATCCAAACCTGCATTAATACAATTTCAAACAACAACAAAAAAAATGTTTTTTATATCAAGGCATGTTTAGAGAGAGCAAAATGTACATTTTGCCCTACTCCAAGAGAAGTCTGTAACAACCAAAGAAGTGTTAATATTGATGCCAGGAGGTTTTTAAATACCAAAATATGCACGTTTTTGGGGTTTTTTTGGGGTTTTTTTTTTAACCTAAAACTTTGTTTACATTTCATTATTCAGTCTGTTGTGCATTAAAAATCAGGAAGAAACAATTTATTGGTGAATAGGAATTAATGCAAACGTCCATGACAAAATTGGGCTATTATATGTATAGTAGAAAGACTCTTACTATAAAAATGCATTGAAAATCTATTTATCGTAGAAAGACTCTTACTATAAAAATGCATTGAAAATTTATTTATCGTAGAAAGACTCTTGTTATAGAAATACATTGAAATTGAGGTAGCGACTGTCAGTGGTCAGGAATTAAGGTAAGCATTGCTAACAAGTGGAAGAGAGTTCCACAAGTGAGAAGTGAGAGAAAAGAAACTATTAGCAAAGAACTTCTGGTTACATCTAGCCATTTCAACTGTAAAACAATGAGACTTTATTGCCAATCTAGTACAGTGCTTAAATTTATCAATTGTAGGTACCATAGGTCAAAGCTCAGAATAATTACCATGAAAGTATTTATAAAAAAAGGCACAGGGAAGCTACATTATGGCAGTGGGGAAAGTAACTGATGTCCAATCAGGACTAATACCATTGCAGGTTCTTGGGATTCTATCAAGAAACTCTAAATGTATAGCAGGAGCACCAGATGAAATGTGGCAACAATATTTGAAGCATGAACAAATGGTTGACTTATAAATATGAAAGATAGATTCTGGCAAGAAAAATTGTCTAGCTGGATACAGTGAACCAAATTTCCTAGCAACAGACATAGCAACTGATTCAGTTGGTTAATTTTCTTTCTTTTTTTCTTCTAGTAAAGTATTATGTGCGGAACTTGCAAGATGCAACACATTTACTTGATAAATTAGCAGCATATGAAGACCATGAAAAGGTAAGATTTCGATTTAATTTGATGAACTAGATGCTTACCTTACTTACCTATAATCCTGAAAGTATCAGAAAAGTGTTACTTATGATGTCAGTGCGTAAACATGAGTTGTTACATTTTCACAAGGAGGTTGAATTATTGCAAAATAAAGCAGCAATGTCACTGATGGGAAATATCCAGCCATTTTGAATTGGTTGTGCACCCTTAATGCACCTTTGGATCCAGTCAGGTGTTACATGTCGACAATTAGGTTGAATTATTGTAAAATAGCACAATGATTTCTATGTAAATATGACTGGAAATATCCAGCCATTTTGAATACTTTGTGAACTGGTTGTGCAGCCTCAATGCAGCTTTACAACCAATCAGAAGGGACTTTACTGTACATGTATGGCTGACACTCTCTTCAGTGAGCTTGTATACTCTGTGACTATCACATTGACAATGATTGGACAAGTAGATTCTTCATGTCTTATACAGTTTCTTTTGCATCACCCAGGGTTGTCACATCCTTCCCACAACAGACTTTGTGGACTTTTTTAAAAAGTGGAAGCAATTCTGGGATAAGTATATGAGGATCCTAGGGGAGTACTTTGAAGAAGTGGTAAGGCACCATTGCATGGAGGTGGAGCGTTTTATTGTTAATAAATTGTTCTTTTTCTGGACCGACTTCATAAATTAGTTCAAAAAGAAGAATATTAATGTGCTTATCTCACAAGCCATTAAGAAAGAGTTCAGTCTTTCTTGGATACTCTAGAAATGGAAGCTTGTATAAAATTAACATCATTGGTTATTCAACTGTTTTTTTTATATAAAAAAGCAAACTGTAAAAATATACAGATCTTAAGCAGAATCAAGTGATGTCAGAATAGTGAGTTAAAATTTATTGTTGAATTTGAATCAACTTCACCCTCAGATGTTCTAGTAAAAGTCTTAATTCAATAGACCAATGAGTCCTAAAATTTTGCCTTTAGTATAGAAGTTTTTTCATGGTACTTTAAGTGGGAAAGTACTGTGGAGTAATGGATAGCAACTCGGCAAATTCCAGTCAAATCCATTACATTCACTTATATGCTAATACCCTTGAGAAATGTATGAATCCTCTACTTCTTCCCCCAGCTATGGGTAAATAGCAGAACAAACTGAGTTCTATAGCCTTGGATGGCAACTGGTCTACCACAGAAAGAAATGGCAACCTACTGTGGGAAAAAAATCTGCCTCGTCAGTTATGTATTGAAAGATACATGATCGCCTAAGCATGTAGTATAACACATGGCACATAACTGACTGACTTAAGTGAGGAAATACTGAAAAACTGGAATGTATGTTCAGGTGTTTACATGATGTAAACCATTTATATAAAGACATTCTGTAACTTAAAAATACTTAATTTAAATAAACATTTAAATATAAATTATTAAATTACCCATATAAAATCATTTTGTCTGAACATTTATTTTAACTGAATAGTTTGATTCAATTCAGTTTACAGCCATTTATTAGAAACTAGAATGTACTGAGAATATACTAGTTTTGGTTCTAGAACCATACCAAAAGTCCTGTTTATCAACCAATTGCCATCTAATATTGAAACTAAAGTTCAACATTAGATGTAAAAAGAGAATTACAATTTGCCAATTACATCTTGTTTCCTATCATCATAACTCTGCATAAGCAATTTGGATTAGTTACTAGTGGATTTAAGTGTTGGTTCATGAATTTGGTCACATAGTAATTATGACTTCAATCCTCAGGTTGGGCAATGTGTACTTGGACTCAGTGGAAGCGACAAGCTATAACTGAGCAGTACTAAAAATAAGAACTAGACAAGATATACCTAGACTTGGGCAGTGGAATGAGAACAGTCTATCCCCATAGATTAAAGGGTTCAGTTCAGAATTCCCTTTAGATTATCTGGATTAAGATATATATATATGAGAGAGTGAAGACCAAAGTGCACAATGGCCGAAACATTGTGATAAAAAAAAGATGAAGACAATAGTTTGCATATAAATAGTGTAAAGAGTTACTTAGAATTAAAGTTTTTGATATCCTATTGTGCCCTTAATTGCCAGCAATTATCAAAAAATTTTAATATCCTACAGGACTCCTAAGAGCTAACCTTGGCATCTTCGGCGGCCATGGTGTGCATTTTAAAAATTACTACAATGGACACTAGTTACATTATTCAAACTATTGTCCTCATCATTGTTGCCATATTTATCACAATGTTTCGGCCATTGTACACTCCAGCCTTCTTCAGGTGGTTGGAATGTTGAAACGTTGTAATAAATATGACAACAATAGTGTACATAATACCTCATCTCAGAAATATAGACAGATACTACAATGGACTGTTGAAATCACAGATAATGGAAAGAATTGTTGGTACACACAGATATATTGTGGTTATTGAAAAATAAATAACAAGAAGACTAAAATTTCACCATCTCTAAAAATAGACAGATAATAAAATCACCAGGCAAACAAAGCCAAAATTCAACCAACCCATCAGAAAGTTTTCACAGCCAGTATATAAAGCTGCAGGTGAATGAGAGGTGAGTGACCTTTTCAGAGTGGATCTATGGATGTGTATATAAACATGAAAAATCAACCAAAATCAGTTGATAATAATATTTGAGTCGATGATTGCATTTTCCAAATCATATAAATTGGGTCTGTCTTGAGTGTAAGTTAGACTTGTCTGTCTACCTATTAATTCATTGTGATTTTTGTCCTATATTCAATATTAAATAACCTGACAAGGATTGCTATGTTGTTAAACTAACGAATCTAACTTAAAAGAAAACAAAACTTGTTTCATCAAGTGAAAAATTTGGCCAAAGATATTTGCTTATAATTTATTCTAAATTTATAAAGATAACTTATTACAAACTACTACTGTAAGAAAGTTTATTAAATGTACTTTTTAATTTTTTTTTTTTAGTCAGTTGGTAAGAATCTGTTTCCAGAGCATCTATCCTTTTCTGAAATTAATAAAGGAGTGAAATTTGGAAAATACATGCAAGGAAAATTCCAGGCAAGCCGAGAAAATTATTTAGAAGGACGAGTGAGCGTTGTTGGTGGTGATGAAATGGTAAATCTTACAAACTGTTTTTTTTTTTTTGTTTTGTCGATTTTGCTTTGTCATTTTTTGTTTTATCTTTTTTTTTTTTTTGTTGTTTTGTCTGTTTTTTTGTCTGTTTTTTGTTTGTTTTATTTTGTTTTTCTTTCAAATGATCTTTCTTGTTTTTGTTGTTCATATACATTCAATCACTGTATGCTCCAACTTAATGTTAACTGAAATGTTAATATTAACATTTCAGTTAACATTCAGTGTTTTGTATTGGGTTTCAAGTCATTTGTTGTGTTTTTTTTTTTTTTTTTTTCAACTTTAAAATCAAAATTCCGTTAAATTTTGATGTTTAGAAATTGGTCAGGTCAAAAAATTTTCAGCACCCGTTGGAGATAAATGTTGTCTTTTACCTTTCAAAGAAGTTGATGATTTTTATATAAATTAAAATTCAACTAATAATTGTGTCGGGTTATGTATTTATTGATCCACCCTTTTACAGTCCATTTTTGTTGTCGGTGGCAAAAATATAATCAAAATGATTGGGAAGAGAACTGAACATTCTGAGCAGGGAAAATTGCTTTCAGAGTGAAAATATTCTCTTTTTGCTATTTCCAGGTGCTGATTGTTGGTCGTGAGAATCTTAACCGAGCTGTTCAAGATGATACAGTTGCAATTGAGATGCTACCAGAGGATGAATGGACTTGCCCTACATCTTTGATAATGGAGAACACTGACGATGTTGAAAAAGAGGATGAAGTTGAGGTGAGTCTCATGGTGTCATCTAGGCACGTGTTGGATTATCGGAAAAATCTTCTGGAATGCAGTTTTGTTTTTGTTTTTCTCTCTCTCTCTCTCTATCGCTTTCTCTTTTTTCTCTCTCTCTATCGCTTTCTCTTTTTTCTCTCTCTCTATCGCTTTCTCTTTTTTCTCTCTATCACTTTCTCTTTTTTCTCTCTCTCTATCACTTTCTCTTTTTTCTCTCTCTCTATCACTTTCTCTTTTTTCTCTCTCTCTATCACTTTCTCTTTTTTCTCTCTCTCTATCACTTTCTCTTTTTCTCTCTCTCTATCACTTTCTCATTTTTCTCTCTCTCTATCACTTTCTCATTTTCTCTCTCTTTCTCATCTCTTTCTATCTCTCATTTTCTCTCTCTCTATCACTTTCTCATTTTTCTCTCTCTCTATCACTTTCTCATTTTTCTCTCTCTCTATCACTTTCTCATTTTTCTCTCTCTCTATCACTTTCTCATTTCTCTCTCTCTATCACTTTCTCTCTCTCTCTCTCTTTTCTCTCTCTCTCTATCCTTTCTCTCTCTCTCTATCTTTCTCTCTCTCTCTCTATTTTTCTCTCTCTCTCTCTTCTTTCTCTCTCTCTCTCTCTCCTATAGCTTTTCTTTCTCTCTATCCGCTTTCTCTTTTCTCTCTCCTTTCTCTTTTTTCTCTCTCGCTTTCTCTTTTTCTCTCTTTCTCTTTTCTCTCTCTTTCTCTTTTTCTCTCTCTCGCTTTCTCTCTCTCTCTTTCTCTCTCTCTACTCTCTCTCTCTCTCTCTCTCTCTCTCTCTATCGCTTTCTCTTTCTCTCTCTATCGCTTTCTCTCTCTCTATCGCTTTCTCTCTCTCTCTCTCTCTCTCTCTCTCTCTCTCTCTCTCTCTCTCTCTCTCTCTCTCTCTCTCTCTCTCCTTTCTCTCTCTCTCTCTCTCTCTCTATCGCTTTCTCTCTCTCTCTCTCTATCGCTTTCTCTCTCTCTCTCTCTCTCTCTCTCTTTCTCTCTTTCTCTCTTTCTCTCTCTCTCTCTCTCTCTTTTCTCTTTTCTCTCTCTCTCTCTATCGCTTTCTCTCTCTCTCTCTCTCTCTCTCTTTCTCTCTCTCTCTCTCTCTTCTTTTTTTTCTTTTCTCTCTCTTTTTTTTTTTTTCTCTCTCTTTTCTTTTTTTTTTCTCTCTCTCTTTTTTTTTCTCTTTTCTTTTTTCTCTCTTTTTTTCTTTTTTTTTTCTCTCACTTTTTTTTTTTCTCTCTTTTTTTTTTTCTCTTGGGCATTGGACATGTCGAAAGCCTTTGACAGGGTCTGGCATTCAGTTCTTCTCCACAAGCTGCAAAGTTACGGTATCTCCAGGCACATTTTTGAGCTGACCTTGTCATTCCTATCAAATTGTGAAATGAAAGTTGTCCTGAACGGCCACTCATCTACATCCTTTTTTACTAACATGGGTGTCCATTGCTAGGTCAGCTGCTAAGAAAGTTGGTTTGTTGTGTTGGGTGAGACAGATTCTGGAGAGAAAAATTATCTTGCATATCTATAAGCCTACCATTCGTCCATGCTTAGAATAATGCTGCCATATATGGCCCAGTGCCCACGCTATTTACCTGGAGCTCCTTGATAAGATTCAAAGAAGAATCAGCAATATTATTGGTCCTGATCTGGCGACTTGACTACAGTTACTTGCCCACTGCAATAAGCTTGCTTCTCTGTGCCTTTTTTATAAATACTTTCATAGCAATTGTTCTGATGAGCTCTTCACTATGGTACCTAGACTGAATGAATTTAAAGAAAATACTAGACTAGTGGTGAGATCCCATCAATTTACTGTTGAACTAGCTTAGATGTAGCGGTAACTTCTATGCTAACAGTTTCTTTTCTCGCACTTCTCTCTTGTGGAACCCCCTTCCAGCTCCATGCTTTCCAACCAACTTTAATCTGCAAAAAATTATATGCAATGTCAATTGCTATCTCCTGTCCTCCTGACTACTCTCTTCTCTTTCTGCTCTTCATTAATGTTTCTGTTCCTAATTCCCCCACACCCTGTAACCCTTTGTATGCTAGTGGCTGTACTGCCTTGCTTGAGGGGGATACTGATCTAAAAAAAACAAAAAAAAAACATCTGTTATAACTTACTTTTCTCTGTAGGACAGATATTTGATTAGTATTCTAAAATATCTAAATAATACCAATAAATGCTTAGAGGTGTTTGTACAGTTTTCAGTTAGGGATTAATATCATGATTGTATGTTTCCAATTAATGTATTACTAACTTGATCCCCCAAAAGTCAGATATATGCAGAGAACATAAAATTTTAATTAAATATGATTGTTTTTTTTAACTGGCTCTAACATCAGACATTATTTATTTCATTATTTATCTAATCTATATTATAAAAAGTGCTGATTCCCTGTCTGTCAAACACTGTCAGCATGTGAATTTGCATTCACTTATGTTAAGTATGTGTATGTCTTGTGATTTGTGTGAGTGCTTGTACCATTTCATATAAACACACATACACAACTTGACTGATTTTGAAATAAAACATTGGAATAAATCATTCCCCACCCACTCAGTCTGGACAACACCTACTCTAGGTCGAGCGATAAAGACATTGGAGACAAAAAATAATTTTCACACACTAAAAAAAAAAAATCAGATAATTATAAAATTTAAGGCCCTTTTTGGGATTATTTGCTAATAAATAGATTTTGTAGAAATATTTTTCTGTCATTGATTTACAATATAAATACACACACACAATTTGAATAAAATTAAAATGGGCATCTGTGTCGCAAAAACTGACTTCCTATTCTGTCTGGTAACAACCCCTAGGTAACAGGAAAAGAGTAGAAGTCAAAATATGCGGCCCTTTGTAGTTAGTTTTATAACTTCTTTTGTCTCCTCTATTAACAAAAAAAAATCACTTCAGCATTTCTTTTATATATATATATATATATATATATATATATATATATATATATATTCTTAGATGTGTTCAAACATGAAACAGTCTGTCACTGCTCAGTGTTGACTTCAGTGTCCACTTTTATATTTTTATACCTAAAGAAGTAATGGATTTTTTTTCTTATTAATCTGACAGATTTTATTACTTATGTTTGAGTAGACACTTTGTTTATTTATTAAACAGTATATTTAGTTATTTTTGTTTACCAGCCTGAATATTTGAAAAGTCTTATTAAAGAAAAATATGCGCTCTCAGACAGGATCTTGACCTGCGTCCTCTTTGGCAGGAGCAACCATCATTAGATTCAATGTGCATGTACTGATTTAGCTACAGAGTACATTGCCAATCAAGCAAAGTTGAATAGTGCTTTAAAAACACAAATCTTTCTCAGACTCTGAAAACATTCATATCCTAACATAAACAAAGCAATTTCTAAAGAAGTAATGGATTTTTTTTTCTCTGACAGATTTTATTACTTCTGTGCTATTTTTAGTAGATACCCATATTTGATAAATAAACTGAGCATCTATTCAAACATGGGTATCAACTAAAAATAACATTTAAGTAATAATATCTATATCATATAGACACACACACTGTATTCTGTCCATTCTGTTGAATATTAATCTTCAATATGTACCAATCTCTGTATTGAGGTTGTTCTTATTAATCAAATGGTATGACACAATTCAGACTTAATTAAACTGCCAATCCCTTGATATGTAATTATATTTTCACAAGCCACATTGAAGAATCCACCCACTCAATCTTAAGTAAATTAATTTTTCAGCAAGAAATTTCAACCATCAATCAAAAGCAAGGCTGGAACTAAACTTTGCTTTCAGCTGATTTTTCTACTCTTGCCAGCTTATGGTCAGATCCTCAGTTCTCATTTGATCACTGCATCTAAGCAGTTTCAAGCTCAGTCAGTAGTTAGATGAAGGATTGCTTAGGAACACCAGGTACTGTAAACAACCTACTACAATCGGAAATACGTTTTGAATTTAAATAACCCACAAAGGGTTGATAAACCATAAAAATAAAATCAATTTTGTCATTCACTCAAAACATTGACTTTTTTTTTTTTTCTGTAACATTTTTATTAGAAAACATGTACTTCTTATGACTCGTTTCTTTACAGGAAGAGATCAAAAAGAAAGCCATTCCCAAAGAGAAACGTCAACCAACTGGTCGTGTGGTGGGTATTATACGACCCAACCGGAGAAATTACTGCGGTATCTTGAAACTCTCAGACAGAAAAGAGGTAAGACATTTAAGTAATTTTTGGATTATTTTTAATAAAATTGTCTTTTCTATTTTATTAATAGCCCTTATACAGAGTAAAAACATGCCGATGGGCCTTATACAGATTAAAACAATAAAAGACTTAATTAATACAAAACAATGACAATAAGCTAAAACTTAATGGAGGAATTTACTCTATCACCTGTAATGATTGTCATAAGGAATACATAGGAGAAACATTGACAAATTTAAATATGATATTATATGAACACAAAAGGTTTCTGTTACAAAACAACCAACACACTCAATGCATTAGTTGTGCACCATAGTGAGTCTTGTCTCAATTTTAATTTAAAGAATGCTAGTTTAATTAAGAGAAAGAAATCCTCATAATGGAAAGTCACTCCCACTGGTTAGTCTGATCACCAAAGAGTTAAGACAGTTAAATCATTGTAGTCCTGGTAAGAGAAAGAAAGAGAACCTGTAAACCATATCCTGAACAAGGAATGAAGGACGAACATCTACTCCTGTTCAATAGGCATGGAATGAGCGTGGACCAGATGGTTGGTGAGCCTATCTATTTCTATTAAACAGCAGGCATTTCCCAATTTTTGGTGCACACTGACAGGAATGAGAATGAAGACACAATGTGGGGTAGTCATTGGCAGGTCAGTAGTAAGCTGCGTGGAGGGTTCCATTTTATGTTTACACTAAACATCTGTCATCTTTGGATTACCATTTGTTTCCTCTTCACACAAGAGTCTGGTCACTGGTTCTAAGAAGTTCAAAAATTATTTTATGACAAAATGCAAAGTTTAGCAAAATGGTGACATAAGAAATGACGGAAACTTATTTGATGACTAAATTATGATGATATAAATTTATAAGAATAACAGTCCCCACCTTATAAAAAAGTCATAGAAAGTTTTATCATATGATAGAATTCACAATTTAGCTAAAAAGCATGATACAAACCAAGGAAATTAATTTGATAACTGAATAATGATGCTATAAATTTCTATGAATAAAAAATTATGTCAAGGATTGATGGGATGCACAATTTAACTGAAAGGTGGCATAAGGTCATAGAAAATGAGGGAAATATTTTGATGACTGAATAATGATGCTATGAATAAAAAAGATTGCTCCAAATAGGATAAACACTTTTGAATCAGTCTCATATGATGGAATGCACAAATTAGCTGAAAGATAGCATAAGGTCATAGAAAATGAGAGAAATATTTTGATGACTGACTAATGATGCTATGAATAAAAGAGTTTGCTCCAAATAGGATAAAAACTTTTCAATCAGTCTCATATGATGGAACGCACAAATTAGCTGAAAGATAGCATAAGGTCATAGAAAATGAGGGAAATATTTTGATGATTGAATAATGCTACAAATTCATATGAATAAAAGATGGAAAATTTAGAATTAGCCTCATATCATGGAATATACAATTTAGCTGAAAGGTGGTATAAGGTCATAGAAAATGAGGGAAAATATTTCGATGACTGAATACTGATGCTATAAATTCATATGAATAAAAGATTTTGCCAAAATAATGCTGGAAACTTTTGAATCAACCTCATATGATTGAACACATAATCTAGCTGAAAGGTGAGAATAAGTCATGGAAAGTAAGAAAATGTTTTGATGATGATATATAATGCTGGAAACTTTTGTACCATCTCACATTAACCATGTTATGTTGATGCTTTACATGTAGGACATTACTTTTGGTAATTACAATAGTTTTTGTTTCTTCTCATGAATTTCCCTTTTTTTCTTTTTACAGAGTAGAAATCATCTTTTTATTCCTGCTAACAAACAAATTCCAAAAATCTACATCAGAACTGAGCAAGGCAAAGAACTGGCCGGTCAGCGTATCATTGTAGCAATTGACAAGTGGCCAATTCATTCTCGTTATCCATTGGTTAGTATTGCTCTACACCATTTTATATTAATTTTTTTTCACTTCGAGCAAAACAATAAAAACTCAAGAGGTTACTGAGAGGAGTAGAATATTAAAAAAGAAAAAAAAAGAAAGAAAAACATTATAAAAAACAATGAATTTAAATTTTTCAAGATCAAAATTGACTGGAAAGCTAGAAGAGAGTTCCACAAGCGAGAAGTGCAAGAGAAGAAACTGTTAGAGTAGAACTTACAGTTACATCTAGCAATTTCAGTTGTAAAATGATGAGACCTTGCTGCCAATCTAGTGCTGCACTTAAATTTGTAAAGTCAAGATACCCAAGAGGAAGGCTCATCAGAACAAGTACCATGAAAATATTTATGCATGTGTGTGAGTGGTGCTAAAGGACCTCCTTGATAGCTGAAGTTGTTGCATATTTCCTATTCATAATTGTAGTTATAATTGGAACGAAAATATTCTCCCACCTGATCGCAAACGGCAGCGTATATGTTCCGCATGCAAGGTTTATCTTTTTGACTGGAAAAAGAAACATGGCCACCCCCAGCAAGCTTGTATTGCGAATGGTCACGTATCCTCACGTGGACAGTCTCGTAAAGCGGATTCACGCATGCAAATGAAGGAAGACAGAAAAGGAGATAAAAACACTGAACGTTGGCGTCTGGCCAGTTAGAAAAATCGAGTCTCTTTTGTAACGTTGAAGGAGAATCGTGTAAAGGAGAAAGCAGAGGTGTAGAAGATTATTGAGAAGATTGAGGGAGTTTATCAGTCGTTGCGGTTTTACACCAGGCGTGTCAAGAAAATATTGTTTTTTGTTCAGGAAGTTTCGTCAGACATCGTGGATTGCAACAACAACTACAATAATAATAATCAATGTTTAATTATTTTTTAAAAAGGTTTTTAAATTGTAATTTTCTAGGCAAGCACTTCCATGTAAGTGATTTGTTAGAGAGATGTGCTAAGCAATTGAACATTTTGTGTGAATGGTCAAGTAAGTTAAGGCAATATAATAATTTTTCTTTTTAGTTTTTTCTTATGGGAAGTGGACAAGCAAATTTATTTGGATGCTAAACAGTTGAATATTTTGATGGTATGTGTGATGGTATACAATTTAACAATTTGGGAAGTGGACAGCAGGCAACAGGAAATCTTATTGGATGGGCAGCACTAGTCAGTTGAATAATTAATGAGAGAGATACAGTTTAATTATTTTACTATAGGAACAGGCAAACATTATCTTTTTATTTACCAAATATAATTTCTATTTACAGGGTCATTTTGTGAAGAAGCTTGGTCCAATTGGAAACAAAGATACTGAAAATGAAGTCCTTCTTTTAGAGCACGATGTTCCTCACACAGATTTCTCTCAAAGAGTGTTGGATTGTTTGCCTAAATTGCCTTGGATTATAAATGAAGAGGTAGGATGTTGAATAATCTTTTGTACTTTTAGAAATGAGTCCTTAGCATCGTTCCAAGAGTTCTTCTGATTGTTGTTTTCATTCTTTTGGTTCTTATCATAATTTATCTGTAAATACATTTAAAGTCTTCCACAGGATTTCAATGCAATGTAGATTTTTTCCCCCCTTACAAAGGAAAGGATCCAAGATTATCATATTCATCAGCCTGATGACTGGTTATTGTCATGAGTTTGCTGCACAGATGAGCATCTGACTAGTCCCCTCTATATGCCAGTGTCGGTCTTTGAGATCAGCACTACATATAAAATATGGAATTGCCTGTGTCATACATGTTGCAATGAGTTGGTCGGTCAACTTGAAACTCACAAAGCGAGTGGAGGTGGGCATGCGCGGGAACTGTGATTGGTAGCTGGCTTGTTGGTGTTTTGCATAGGTGAGTTACCAAGCGCTATGTAAAGGGCTGGAATGAGAAGGAGGTCACTTTTCAGTCTCAGAAGTGGAGACTGTGTCCGTTGCTACGACAGCAGGAGAGAAAGAGACGAAGTCATTTATTTTTTCATGACAAATTCCAACACAGTCATGAGTTTGCTGCACAGATGAGCATCTGACCAGTCCCCTCTATATGCCAGTGTCAGAGTCTTTGAGATCAGCACTGCATATAAAATATGGAATTGCCTGTGTCATACACATTGAAAAGAGGTTTTAACATAATGCGTAGTTCTAAACAGTATATTGTCCAAAGTTTTTATTAGTCTCCTTCACAGTGAGCTCTCCCAAAAGAGTAGACATTTGTGTTTTTTTGAGAATCCTAAATGATTTTTCAGCTCAATTATGGGACTGTATTAATTTTATTTGTACTTTCACATTTCTAATTAAAAAAAATAGAGGTTTAGATCGAGAAAACCTAGTCTGCAGTAAAGATCCAAAATTTTTGGAAAAGTTTAAATTTTGCATTCAACCCATTTAGACTCCGCTCTCAGGGATTTTCAGTGTCAAAAATGGATTCAGCACTCTCAAAAACATAAGGATAGAGTTCAAGATCATGGTTTTCTGATAAGTTCAAGGGAAGTTATGTTGAAAACTCGTATTTGGCACCCAGTATATAGTGCCAAAAGGAACTGAGTACATTTTAAATATATCTTCAGCCTCACAGTTTCAAAGTGTGTATTTATGCACAACAATCTCTTCCTCATGTATCTATGGTTACCCATGAAGATAATGGAATGGCAACCAATTCTCAAACTGAATATGATCAGAAATTTATAGACATTTGTGAAGATAAAATTATATGAAGTTGGCAAATAATATGTCATCAAAGGCATACAGAAGGCAATTAAAACTATCATTGAACCTTCTGAAGTAAAAAAAAAAAAAATGTAACAAATTCAATGGATAACAGATTGCTGGCAGTTATTGAGAAGGGTCCCTATATTAAGATGTAAATGCTTCAATGATGTATCATATGTTTGTTATTTGTTGTATTATAAGTGTTGATCAATTGTTGATGATTTTATTACATTGTTATTGAAGTAAAAAAGTGATTTTCTGGTTTTGCATAATAACTTCAGACTGCAGTTTTTATAATAAATCCAGTAATAAAACATGTTGATACTACCTACAAATTTAACTCCAGCTTTGTTTTGAATGTTTAAATCTTGACGAAAGTTTTGCAAAGCAAATTTCTGTTATTGAGGTTTGTGATTTGCATAATAACTTCAGTTTGACTGTAAACAAGAGTTTTTTGTCTAATAAATCTTACCTATGATATCCAAGGTTACATAAACAGGGAATTAAAAAACAAAACAAAAAACTTTCTATCCCCAGGATTTGAAGCGCCGTGAAGACATTCGCCATCTGAACATTTGCAGTGTGGATCCTCCTGGCTGTACTGATATTGATGATGCACTCCATTGCCGAATGTTAGAAAATGGCAATTATGAGGTAGTTTTCTTTTGTTTTTGTTTGCTTTTTGTTGTTGTTTGCTTTTTGTTGTTGTTGTGATTGTTTGCTTTTTTTTGTTTGTTTTTTATTCACTAAGACTTAAGGCTTTTTCGTTGACTTAAGATAAAACAAATTTGAGCCAAAATTAACAGCCTAGATTAAAAGTAAGCCCACTATTGTTGTTTTTTTTTGGGGGGGGGTCCTGGAACCAAGTCAAAATAATAAAAATAATGCTGGAAAGTTGTTTTAAAAGAATGATTTTATAAATGATGGTGGAACTGGCTGTCTGGTCAATGAATGCAAAATGTTTCCATGTATAGAAAATCTATAACATGTAAAACATGTATAGAGAATATATAAAAACATGTATATTTTCATGTATAGAAACAGCTAGTATTAACATTATCGTTTAAAGTATTAAAATTGTTACATATAGATGTCACCTATGAACACAAACCAAATTGTGTGAAAATTGGAAGTGTTTTAATATGTCAAAATTATGTTGAGAAACACCTAACTAATTACTCTCCAAGCAACTACAGTACATAATAGGCAGAGAGGGGTAAGAGACAGGAGGTAACAAAAATAAAACTGCCTTGGAAACCACAGCAACTTGAGAAACAAAAATGTCCACAGGACCAACTTCACAAGACTGCCAATTTCTGTTTTTCCCCCTTGCTTTTATTTTGTCCAATTTCAGAGAAGCCTGTATTTAGACATACCAAACTGTTCCACTGTTAACAGGAGAAAAACCTGATGTAACTGGTGTTGGCAAACCTGTCCACATGTGATGCAAGGCCTCTTTTGCATCTGTATTGATGCACATTCGCCACAGGAAAATTGTCATTTATCCATGTAATGAAATGGATTTGTTTGCCTTGAAAATCAGCATTTAAAATTCTCATTTCTATTTCCGTAACTGGACCATGTGGCAAGCAACAACCCAAGTGATATTTAGTGGCTGCCACTGATTAAGAGAGCAAAAATACCATTAAAATATGTTGAATGAGAATCATTAACCAGTTGGGATTAATTAATCAGTTCCCTTTATATTTTTTTAGACATTCAGTGTTATCCGATTCATTGATTACTACTGGTATTATATAAATCACTTTATGCTAAATAGCTTTCCATGTAAAAAATTTTTTATGTGTTTAATATAACAGTTTAGCAACAGAAAAAAGACTGCAACAACAAAGGCTATTTCAAAACAGTCACTTAATAGACAAAGGTATCTGAGTGCCTAACATGAAAGGCTTGAACAAACAAGGCTGCAATCTAAAAAAATGTTGAAGTAAAGGAACTAATTTGTGTTCAGAAAACAATTAGCCTCTGACAAAATTTGAATTTTCACTCCATATCAAAAATGAACAGTCAGAATTCTAAGTAGTTTTCTCCCATCCATCAACACTAACTCATCACCCAACACTGCAAGAAGAGAAAAAAAAAACATTGATCTTGTATACCTGTAGTCAGAGCCACAGATTGTTTTGTTCATGACCATTCTGATGCAAATTAGTGCAACACCTACCATGCAAATTTAGCAGTGATGCTATCTGTTTTGAGAGACTGATTCTCCAAGCTGCCAATTATTCAGAACTCAACTCTTACCTATAACAGACACACCTTAATCAAGATCATTTTTGTGTTGTTTTGGTTCTCCTCTAAAATTCCATATTTTGGAGAGCTTGCCTGGGTAATGAAATGAAAGAAAACCTAGTAAAAAAGAAAAACAAAAATAAACAAATTATTTCTTGGTAAGATCAAGGACATTTCAGCACCTACTGTATGTGTGTGTTAACCCTGTAGACTCCCTGTGGAGTATAGGGCCACAGCTTCACCACACTGTGTTGCTGCTGTGGTTTCTGTTTTACAGGATGGAGCTGCACACAATTGGCTTGGGATTCAGAGTTGTTGTTCTCCTAGACTAGTTTTTTTATTTTTTTGTTTTTTTTTGGAGGGTGGGTATCATTTCACCCCAAGCTGTTAAGATATTAATGCCACTAAGATGCAAGGTGTTTGTGCAGAAGAAATTTACCTACCTTAAAAAGCAGAGGGTGTGCACCTGCTGATGACATTGGCTAAAGAAAAACTAGGGTAAATTCCTTCCATTGTTTATAACAGAAAATGGTTGATGGAATAGCCTAGATGTGCTGCTTACAGATTAGTGTACCTGCCTTCAAATACACATATAAAGTCTGAACAAGTGGGCGTGGTAGAAGAAAGCAATTTGCAGGTAGTGGATTTGCAGCTATTTGAGTATGCAGCTCTGTGAATTTGTGACAGTTCATTTTATTTGTACTACAGGATTCCTGGGAGTGGAAGAGAATCAGAAGACTTTAGTGAGAAGAAAAGACAATAAAAGAACAGGATTCACAAAGAAAAATTGTCTATCATGATGGTGAACAAACTTTATAGCAGTTCACAGTGACCTTCTTTTCTTGTACTTCTTGCTTCTGGAAATCATTTCTAGCTCCATGCTTTCCAGTTAACTTTAATTTTCAAAAATTTAAATGCAATATCAATTGCTATCTATTGTCTTCCTGGTTACTCTAAAATTTTTCTCACTCCTTAGTAACATTTGTGTTTTTTAATTATTCCACACCCAGTAACCCCTTGTGTATTAGTGGCTTTACTGCCTTGCATTTTAAAAAAGTAAATAAATACATTTCTAATGGTATATTTGTATTTTGACAAACTTTACTAAGCTAAAGATTTGAATGGAGAAAATCTTTGTAATGAATTCTGAGCAGGAACAGTTCTTTATCTCCATCTAAAGATGTGTGTATTCATTTTCCTTCCTTCGCTCTCCAGGTTGGTGTTCACATTGCTGATGTGTCCCATTTCATCCGACCAGGAACTGCCTTGGATGATGAAGCCAAACACAGAGCAACAACTGTTTACCTGACAGACCAAGTAAGTCATCTCAATTTTATAAAAGATTCATTTGAACCTTTTTAGAGAAAGTGTTTCCACTTATTTTGTTCTGTACATCTCTAAAATTAAACAGACTTGCATGTGCCCAAACCTGTGCAACTATAAAAACACATGTACACACACACAAAATGTATATACATGCATAAAAACCTACACACAAGCATAAAATGCATATACATGCACACGTGCATGAAGACCTACACATTCACACAGACGCGCACATACATGACTATAAAGCACACATAAGTACAACCATAAAAACGTCTCCACATGCATGCAGTTAAATAGCCATAAAAACACACCCACAGAGAACATACACTCACATCACCATAAAAAACCCAAACATACACCCACACTGCCATACAAAACACACACACACACTGATTTTGCTCCACTGATCTATTATTTCATAATATACAAAAATCACCTTTTTTTTTTTTCTCTCCTTCCATTCATTTTCTGCTTCTTTCAGCGTATTGATATGGTTCCAGAATTGCTGAGTTCCAATTTATGTTCTTTACGAGATGATGGTGATCGGTAAGTGAAAAACTTGATTACTTTTATTTTGACTTGTTATATGGAACTAATATGATGTCCTAATCACTGGTGTTCAAAGCCAGAGAAAGAATAAAAAAACTTTTAAATTTAATTTTCAAGGCAACTCACTACTAAAGATTTAATCCATATCCTATAACTTTTAAAGATCAAAAATGAATTAACATCACCATTTTTTAATACAGATAATGAATTTTTTTTTATTGTTTTCTTTTTCTTTTCAGGTTTGCATTCTCAGTAATTTGGGAAATGGACAATGATGCCAAGATATTGACTACTAAATTTCATAAATCTGTCATTCGATCAAAAGTAAGTATTATATAAAAACAAAATCACTACTTTCATTTTTTTGCATTCCCTTCCATCTCCTCTGAAAGTATCTATCAAAATACCAGGGATTATGGTCGTATCACATTTAAACACCAGTTCTCGTACAGTCACCGGTTAAGCAATGTCAAGCCTGGTCAGTACCTATATGGGTGGCTATTTGAGTAGCTTGGATGTGTGCGTGGTATAATGAATAATGGCTCAGAATTGCAAATTGGAGAACAGTTTCAATTCCAGTTGAGTTCATTATATTCACTTATGCACAAATACCTTCTTCCCCTAGCTATGGGTTAATTAGTAAGATTTGTGTCAGTAAATCATTATCTTCCCCAGAATTTTTAAAACTTCAAAATATTTACAAAAGGTTGATAAGCCATAAAAATAACAAATCAATCAATCAGGATTGCCAGTACTTGGGATACAATAAGAAAAAAAAATAAGAAAGCACCAATTAGAATATTTTAGCTTTCTTTGCAAGTCAATTAACCTTGTGGCTGAAGCTACCTCTCTACTAGAGAATAAAAAGTAGGACTTTCTTAACAGTTAAAAATACATTTTTTGTTCTTAATATAATTTTCTTTCTTGTCAATGCACTTAATTTTGTGTTGAAATATCTTAAAAAAAATTTAGGTGAGAATTTGTGTTTGCAAAGCTGGCAGAAAGTGAAAAAAAAACTGAATATGCTACATATCATGAGATATTAATTATTATTATGGTAGTTGTTGGTTGAAGAAATTAGTGTCAAACATTTGGCTGTTTGGAGGTGAATGTAAAATGTACGTTTTCTCTATCCTATAAAGGTAATGCTCTGTTTGGACTACTTTAATTTTACTTGTTTTGAAATTTGTCTCATTCCTTTAGGCTTCATTAACCTATCAAGAAGCCCAGAATCGAATTGACAGTTCTTCACAAGATGAACTTACGCAGAGTTTGCGAGGACTCAACAAATTGGCCAAAATTTTAAAGAAGAATCGTATTGAGAATGGGTCAGTGAAATTAAGATTTTTTTGTCTGTTTTATTTTTTCTAATTTTTTAATTCCCCTTTTTTTTGTTGTTCTTGTTTTAATTCCTTAAGTTATTTTTACCCTCAAAATTGATCTTTTCTTCTCTCTCCTCCTCCTCCTCCTCGCTGTTCTTCTCTCTCCTCCTCCTCCTCCTCTGTTCTCTCTCCTCCTCCTCCTCCTCCTCCCTCCTTGTTCTGTCTCCTCCTCCTCCTCCTCGCTGTTCTTCTCTCTCCTCCTCCTCCTCCTCGCTGTTCTTCTCTCTCCTCCTCGCTGTTCTTCTCTCTCCTCCTCCCTCGCTGTTCTTCTCTCTCTCCTCCTCCTCGCTGTTCTTCTCTCTCCTCCTCCTCGCTGTTCTTCTCTCTCCTCCTCCTCGCTGTTCTTCTCTCTCCTCCTCCTCGCTGTTCTTCTCTCTCCTCCTCCTCGCTGTTCTTCTCTCTCCTCCTCCTCGCTGTTCTTCTCTCTCCTCCTCCTCTCCGTTCTTCTCTCTCCTCCTCCTCCTCCTGTTCTTCTCTCTCCTCCTCCTGTTCTGTTCTTCTCTCCCCTCCTCCTCCTGCTGTTCTTCTCTCTCCCACCCTTTCTCTCTCCCCTCCTCCCCCTTTCTCTCTCTCTCTCCCTCCTCCTCGCTGTTCTTCTCTCTCTCTCTCTCCTCATCTCCCCTTTCTCTCTCTCTCCTCCACCTCGATGAAAACAAGTATATCTACCCCAACTGTATTTGCTTTTGCCAATCTTTTTCTAATCTACCCAGAAAGACCTTTCCATTGAACTAGTTGTGCACATTTCAGCCTCCATGAGCTCTCAATATGCCAGTATGGGACTCTATATTTTGTTGGGACTTTTTTTTTTTTAATCATTTCTCCTTTCTGTATCTGTTGAATTTTTCATTATTATTACTATTACGTTTTCAGTGCCCTGGTTCTTGCCTCTAGTGAGATTCGGTTCCATATTGACAGTGCAACTCATGAACCTATTGATGTCCAAGCCAAAGAAATTCGGTAAGAACCCTTTGTCTGATGTTCAAACATTATCCACAGAGCAAATATGTTATCAGTGCTTGAGTTTTGCTCCATCCAATTGAGAATCTAGCCTGTAATTCTTGCACTGTTACACAGAAAATAGAAATTGTCACGGAATGTCTCGCTCTATATAATAAGCTTTTAGGTTGATGCAAATGTTCACAGCCCTTTTAACTCTTTATGGATTATTCACTTTTGCTGTTCAGGTCATTTAGGAAACGCTAATTCAGAAGTTAGGAAAATCAATTCTATACGAACAGCAGTCAATGTTTAATCACTTCTCTTCTATTGTGGCTTATCACAAAATCATAATTTCTGAACTGTATCATAATAATTGTGCTTGTACCTCCCTTTGTTATTTTGCATGACCTTTACGCCCTGCCAATACCTCATAAATGGACTATTCTGTTTTGATCACATGAAAAAAGACAAGACATATCAAAGTCAATACTTGGTTTAAGTGAGAAAATGAAAGAATGTGTTCAACATCAGTTTCAGTGAAATGGAAAAAAGTTTCATTTGTATCCCCTTACTTCTTAAAATAATGACCGGCATTCATATTTTTGATTGTTTTTGCAATATTTTGTTAAAGTTGTTAAGTTCAAATATTTAACAATGCAATAGGGGAATTTCTACAGATATTTTATTGTCATAGAACTTGCCATGAGCTTATTCAATCATTTAACTGATTTTTGATTAATTTTGAGTTTTTCCATTTTTTTCAGAGACACCAATTCTATGGTGGAAGAATTCATGTTGCTAGGAAACGTTTCTGCTGCTAAGAAAATCTTTGAATCTTTCCCCAACTGTGCTGTTCTCCGACGGCACCCTGCCCCACCAGCATCAAATTTCAAACCATTGATTCAAGCAGCAGCCTCCAGGGTAAGTAGATTCTCTCTCTACCACCTTTTTTGTCCATGACACTTCGGATTCCTTCAATCCTATACTTCATGTCTCTTAATGAGTTGATAATTTCAAATGCTAACCTCAGTTTCCTCATCTTGTAAAAAATATAAAACATTAAGATAAGTTTCATCTTTAGTGCTCCTCTTATCAAAGTTGGCAGGCCTTTCTTATTTGAAGGATTAGCACAACTCAGATTTCCTGCTCCCTCCCTCCCCTACCAAAACCTTAGTGTATTTCTGTCTCTGCATTTGCTCTAAATACTGTAAAAATGTTGTTTCGAAACATAATGTTAACTATGTAACTTATCTCTAGTATATATGAACAGAATAAAAAAAAAAAAGTTAAATGTTAAATTTATCTTCTATCAGAATTTTGAAATTTTGTGGTGTACATTATACACATATTATGCAAATTATAAGGATGTGTGAGTGGTGTAATGGATAGTGGCTTGGTATAAGAAGTCAGAGGCCCAGGTTCACATTCTAGTCAAGTTTCATTACATTCACTCTTACACAAATATCCTTGGGAATGATATAGTTTAAATAGTATGACAGACTTGGCTCTTCATTCTTGGTTGGCAACCAGTAAAACAAAATTCAGATCTTTGTTCCCCCACTAAAGCACAGACTAAGCAGCTAACGAACGGATTGTTGTATTCTCAACGGTCACTATGATCTTAAGGCTTACAGCCATATGTTGAAATACTACTTCCTGTACAATCATCAAAGTTAAGCAACGTCAAACCTGGTTGGTATGTAGATGGGTGACTGCTAGGGAAAACAAGGTGTTGTAAGTTTGGATGTGCCTGTGGTGTAATGGATAATGACTTTTCTTTCAACTGGAGAGCCAATTTCCAATTCCCATTGGGTTTGTTATCACTTACACACAAATCTATGGGTGTATGGTCAGTGGTAGTACCTTTGCATTGGTTGACCCTGTTTTACTTAGATGAATTGGGATGTGGAACAGTACTGGTCCACAACTTACATCCAACTTTCACACATGTCTCCAAAAAGTTGCATGGGCACTGCAATGGCCACACTCCAGTCAACAGCAATGATCTGCCAGTTAAACTGTATGAGTGTGGTTGGAAGGGTTTCCCAACTCAGAGGTCAATGGCTTTACCAGTGGGCAGAGAAACTTCTAAGAGAAGGACAAAGTAACCTCAACATCCTCAGTTAAGCAAAGAAATTAAAGAAAAATTAGGACTTGTAAACCATTGCAAAATATTTTCTGGCTTTAAATAACTTGCAAAGGGTTGATAAGCCGTGAAAAACGAATCAATCAATCAATCTACTGATTAAGAGAAGAAATTAAAAGAAGAAATTAGTAAGACTTGTAAACCATTATTATCGCCAAAATATATTCTTACAATCTAAAAATATTTTCTGACTTTAAAAATTTAATTTTAATTTAATTTTCTGACCTGCAAAAGGTTTGATAAACCATAGAAAACAAATCGATCAATCTATGATTCCAGTTGCAGTGACTCTGTTGATTGTATACACAAATAATTCTACTGATTAAGCAGAAGAAATGTGTAAGACTGTATGTATGTATATATTTTTTGGCTTTAAATAACATTTTTCACAGGATGAACAAATGGTTTACTCTGATCTAATATTTAACATCCTACCCAGAGTTGAATGTGACCCACAGTCTGTGTGGGCAAGAACAGAAAGTGCCCAGTCTCTGTAATCATTGTCACAAAGGCATCAGAATGCTTTGACCTTGTTATATTAAAAGGAAGTAATGCCCTATTGTTGGAATCTCCAGTGTGATACTTCCATTGTATTTTGCATCATTCTACCTGAAGTTTCATCTTTCAAAGCAGCTAGGCTTGAAGAATTGGCCCAACACAATACTTTCTTTTTTTCCTCTGCCAAAAACTTTATTATACTAAACTGAGCTTAAGAAATATCAAGATGAACATCATGATTTCAAATAATTTTTTTTTTTTTTTTTTTTTTGTTACTTCAGTACTTGTACCAATTCTTCACTTTGTAAAAAACAAATTTATTTTTTATGTCTGGGATTCTATGGCTGATAAATGAATTTGAAATTTTCACAGGATGAACAATGGTTTAATCTAATATTTAAACATCCTACCTAGAGTTGATACCCACAGTCTTTTTTTTTTTTTCAGAATGAGATTGACATTCTACCTGAAATGAAAATCACTAAGCTTTTTTTTCTCAACTAAAGAAATACCTCTTTACAAGGAATGTACATATTTGGTTAAAAAAAAAGAACAAAACAAAACACAGCTATGGCTACAAAAAAAACTTGTGTGAAAAATGAAATCTACAAGTGGGTAGTTATTTTTTTTCTTGAAGTAATGAGTGAAGTTTAACTCAATTTATTGGCCTCCCCCCTCTCCCGACTCGTGGTTTGTTGATATTGCACGGGTTATGTTTTTAATGAATAGGATTTCTTAAAGTGCCTTGGCATGTTTTACTCAAAACAATGCTGATTTGAGATTAAATAGAATTAAATAACAACACTAATAACAAGCAAAGATGAGAACAATAGTTTGAATGTATCAAATTATCCTATTATAACTGTGTTTGTTCCTCCCTTCATTAGTTTGCATGGGCATTACACCCTGCCATTACCTCATAAATAATGGACTATTCTGTTTTTATCATGTGGAAAGAGGGGAAAAGACACTACTTGGTTTCAGTGAAAAAAATGAAAGAAAGAAAAATAGAAGTGTTTAACGTCTCTTGCCAATACATAATAAATAATGGATTATTCCGTTTTGATTATGTGAAAAGACAAAAAAATATAAGAGACACTATTTGGTTTCAAGGAGAAAATGAAAGAATTCTTTTTTTTTTTTTTTTTTTTAAATGAAATGGCATTTTTTCAACTCCCAAATTCCTTTCTGATAATGCTTCTAACTTATGCTTGATGCATTTGTAAATAAAATATGGCCTTTGGATAAGTAGACTTGCAGATATCTTTTTCTCTATCTTGTCAGGGTGTGACGATGGACTGCACAACAAGCAAAGCTCTTGCTGAAAGTTTAGACAATGCTGACTTTGGTTGCAATGACAATGCCAACACAATGTTACGAATGATGACCACACGCTGTATGATGCAAGCTGTTTATTTCAGTAGTGGCACTCTCCAAGAACAGGAATTTTTCCATTATGGTCTAGCTGCCCCTATCTACACACACTTCACATCTCCAATCCGAAGGTAAGGTGCTCCCCCCCTCTTTTTTTTTTTTTTGTGTGTGTGGGGGGGGTAACTTGTTTTTTACTGAAATTTTGAGATGATTTGTTGATATTCAATGAATTTTTAGGATTATCTTTATTTTCATTCATATACTTTTTTTTTTCTTTTCTTTCTCTGTTTTGTCAAATCTGTTCTTGAGAACATGAAAATTGCAGCCTCACAGACTAAGGTTGTTAATAAAACACTTGCTTTAATCTTGTTGCACAAACATATCAAATAAGAAAGCTAGAATTTTATTCTAATTAAAATTTAAAAAAAGAATGAATTTTTATAAAAATTAATTTTTCATTGAAAATTTTTCTTAATATGGTGTCCTTAATATATCTTATTTATAAAAGCAATTAAAAGCTTTTCTACTATAAGATGTGAGCAGATTTTTGGTAACAGGGTCCTGTTTTACAAAAAGAAATTGATGGTTTAAAATCTTCAAAGGGTTCTGCATATAGCTGATTAAACATTAAGTGGTACAAAAATTAATTTCTCAATTTCCTAAAATTAAATAAGTTGGAGGTAACACATATAAAAAAAATATTTTTACATAATTTCATTCATGAATAAGTGCTGAAAATTTCTATGCAAAAATTTTCAAAGTAATGTGTTTTTATCAACTATTGTGCTATTCCTATTCCTTCTAAAGTCTTCTCATTCTCTTTCACTCCCAGTAACCTTGCTTGGGGTGAATTGATTAAAAAAAAAAATACAGATATGACAAATTATGATGCTATGCTACACTGACATTATTATTGTTTTGTAAATTAAATATTTAATAAATTTTATTTTTCCTTTTTCTCCCCCTTTCAGATATCCTGATATTCTAGTCCATCGTCTGCTCGCTCTGGCTATTGGAGCCGATTCATCATATCCGGATTTGTTGGAAAACCAAAAAATGCAGGTAAATCCCCTTCTGCTTTCAGTCAGCAGGATTCCTCGTTAAAAAGGAAAATTTATCTTTCTTTGATTTTGTTAACTTCTATTTCTCATACAAAGTGTTGCTCCTGGTGTTTGTGTACACAGTGTGTATTGTGTGTATACAGGATTTGTACTGTGCGTGTGTATGTGTTGCATAGTGTGGGTTCATGTACATAATGTGTGCTTACGTATCTAACATGTAGTGTGCCTGGATACAGAGTGGCCTAATATTCATTAACCAACCAAGTTGGAATTCTAGCTGAAGCTGCTTATGTTCCCTTCAAACTACTGCTCTTTGGAAAACATGAAAACATTTCTCCCTACAATCCACTGCTGAGTGTTTTGATTAAATATGTCTCATTACTTACACATGATTTTAGGCGATTGAGAAATCTGGATGGGCAAAACACCCCTCTCTTCTACCCATGAAAGACCCAGGTATTTAGCAACAGCAAAGTTTATCTTTATTGGTTATAATCAGAAAAAAAGATTCATTTATATTTTCACACACACACACACACACTTCTTATGTTATATATTCTGGGTTTTTGGGGATTTTTTTTTATAAAAGCTTTATCAATGTTTGACATTTTTCTTTTTAATTTTTCTGTTCTAGAATACCTGCAACCATTGTAACTATCGTCATAAAATGGCTCAGGATGCTTCTCGCTCATCTGTAAATCTACATACCCATGTAAGGAGTGTTTGTTTTTTGTTTTTTTATTTTATTTTATTTTTTCACTTTACAAGTTGTTTTCTTTACAATGGAATACTGAAAAGAATCGTGTCCAGAGTATGACGATAAACTACATTCAGCAGCAAGGCCTCTGTTCAGGAGGTTTTGAGAGGCATAGAAAACCTCTTAATTGCTGTTGTTCACAGGTCCATCCTGACTCTGGGTGGTAGCACCTGTTAAGGTCCCAGGTTTGAGCAAATAGTTGACCTCCAAACTGGGGTCAAACACTATAAAAGTATAATAAATAGATTGGTATAGTAAAAATACCAGCAATACATTTTTGGAAAAAGAAAAAAAAAATATTACCAGCAATACATTTGACTCTTGACAAAAAACCCTCTTTACAAAAATACATCAATGAAACCTGCTCTCCTACAAATTGATTTGTTACAAAGAATACATATTCTATTCATATGAACCTATTCTAAAAATCTTGTCAGCATTAAATAACCCATTCAGGTTGACATGCCGTAAAAACAAAATAAACCCAATCCTGAAAAGAATTCAGGGAATTTCTTTTTATCATTGCAACTATTTCAATTTTTTTCTTCTCTGCGGCAGATATTTTTATAAAAGTTGCTTTTCTGAAAAGATTAAAATAACAACTTCCTTTTTATTATTATTATTATTTAATTTTAGTTTTTACTAATATTTCATTCAGTTGCTTTTTATTGCAACTCCCAAGTCATCATGCCTATGGCCATATTATGTTAAAACATTGGTTCCTGTACAAATACCAAAGTTAAGCAATATCAAGACTGGTCAGTACCTGAATGGGTGACTGCTTGGGAATACCAGGTGCTGTAAGCTTGGATGTATAGGTGGTGTAATGGATTAATGGATCAGAATTGTTAATCAAAGAGCAGAGTTCCAATTCAGTTCATGATATTCACTTCTATGCAAATACCTTTTTGAAAAGGTATGAATCCACTGCTTCTCCCCACCAGCTATGGGTTAATTACTAATACTTGTATCACTAAATCATTATTCTAAAAATATTTTCTGACTTTAAATAACCAGCAAAGAGTTGATAAGCCATAAAAAATGAATCAATCAACAATTGATTGCAGATCCTTATTTCTTTCTTTTACAGATTTTCTTTAAAGACAAAAAATGCGATGAAGATGGTTATATTCTTTTTGTTCGGAAGAACGCAATCCAAGTGCTCATTCCTAAATATGGCTTGGAAGGAACAATCTATGTCACCAAAAGCAGCAAAGAAAAAAGCTCTATTTTCACATTTGATGAAGAGGTAATCATTTATGAATTACATAAATTTTAGACTTTTATTTTAACATAAAATATATATTAATACCTGAGATGTAAGGCTACTTGCAACATAAGGTTTATTCAGTAAGCATCATTACTATCCAATGCTTTATTTTTCAATAAAAGATAAGCCTTTTTAATTATTACCTCTATCCCATAATAGTTGTAACATTTGTATACATATTTCATAAATGAAATGCACTGACTATTATGGGACAGAAGAATTTATGTTATTAAGTCTACAATACTAAGATTAACACTAATATTTTTTATACTTATACTATTATTTTTTATATTATTTATTTTTATACTAGCCTAGTAGCTTTTATAATGATGGGATTATTTATGCATGTATTGGTTCTTCTGCCAAGGATCAGAGGATCTATATCCTCTGCCTCGGATTAGTACTTAGATGAAAATGTAGTATTTGGATACCAATACCCTCACCTTTTTTTTAATGTATCATTAAACAAGTCTGACAAAGTATGTTTGCTTAGTTTATTTATTATAATTTTTTTTATCATTACGTGTTTTTTGGGTGTTTTTTTTTGGGGGGGGGTAGAATTATTGAAAAATTTATCCAAAAATTCCAGGAAATATAGCAATATTTTGCAATTGCATCTATTAACATGTTTCAGTTCTATCCTCACCTGTCAAACCTAATATTCTCAAAATAAACGGCTACTACATGCATGCACATCAAAAGTCCCCTTTTATGTGTACAGTGGTAACATGTATATATACTCAAATAAATTAAGTCTGGGTAGCCCCATTGGACCATCCCTCGCCAATTTTATATCTCATGTTGAAAACAAAATTTTCAAAAAGCAATGAAAAATCCTCAAATTTATGTCAGATATGTGGCAATGTTTTCATTTTAGCTAAAAGCAAAAAAGAAATAGAACTTGAAACTACATTTGTAAAAAAACAAACTCTGTTTTAAAATTTACTTAGGAACTCAGCAAGAACAAAAACTTCCATTCTTAGATGTTCTTATAGTATCCAATAACAATACATTCACCATTTCACTGAACAAAAAACACCTACAATTAAAACTTCTGCCATCTCAATTATAATAACAAATGTCCACTGAGATATAAATTCGATATAATTAAATATAAAAAAAAATTAAAAATTTCCTAACAAGAGCGCATGCAGTTTCATCATCACACAAAACTATTCCTTAAAGAACTCATTAACATAAAACAAGCACTAGTTAATGGTATTCCAAACTATATTATATACAGCCAAATGAAACTGTTTCTTCTAAAACTAAACAATAATAGCATCATTCACAGAAACAATAGCAGTAATATTAATATATTTTACCATAACTAGCTACACAAAAATTACAAACAAGATGAATTCTGATGAAAAACAGAAGAAAAGCACGACGAAGACTAAAGCATACAATGGCCAAAACATTGTGAATATGGCAATAAAGATGAGGACAACAGTCCAAACAATGTAAATAATGTAAAAAGATGAATTCAGTTTTAAGGAACATCGCAAACAAAAAAACATAAATGCATCACTCATGCTGAACAAACTAGAAATATCAAATTAATTATCTATTATTATTATTAAAAATGTCTAACCTTTTTATTAAAAATAATATCTCACCAACAAAATCAAAACTATGTCAGACCAACATTATTTAAAAATTTAAATGCCTCATTGAAAACTGCATTCCCAACATAAAGAAACCCATAAATAATTATGTCGGACACACTACCACCCGCCTGTCAAGATGACTGAATCTCTATTTCCCTGACCAGAGCTCCACATGAGTACATTTAAAGCAGTATTAAATCATACAAACCTCAATATGCAATATATTCATTGAGAACACGAATGCAATATGTGCGTCTAACTGCAGAAAGGTTTGAAAAATATTTTTTAAAGTTTTACAAAGATTTTATGTAAAAAAAACAAAAAAAACATGTTTCTAAAATAATTTCATTCACTTGTGAATAAGTACTGAAAGTTTCATTAAAAGCTGATAATTATTTGATTTTTGTAAAATTTCCAAGAATTTCCAAATCAAAATTTTTCACTGCAAAAAGATGCTAAAATTTCCTATACTTATCTTTGGTCCATGACTCGTGCAAGAAAAACAAAAAATTTAACCAAAGTTTCTAACATCCTAAAAAGGATCAAAAAATATAATTTAATAATCAAAAAATCCTTCGGTCTTTCATAATGACGATAAAAGTCAGAAAGACTGAAATGGTCAAAATTACTTGAATAAAAACAGAAGAAAGGCATAAACTTTGGACAATTTTCATCTAAATGTTACAACAAATTATTCAAAATTATATACAAGCCATATGCTTGTCTTCCTTTTTTTGTGTGCTAGTTATTTTTCTTGCACTGGCAATACTGAGTGGCAATGTCTTAGTGACAATGGCTGACTGTTCAATGATGTTATAAAGCCCGAAATGTTGAAAAGATCAGTGTATAACAATAATAATTGGACAAAATATAATTTCAAGATTCACATGTCAAAATTCAACAATAGTAAGGACTGAAAATATAATTTTTATATATGCCACCATATCCAATGGCAGGGGTTAACATATTACATTTTAGATATCTTTTTCTTTCTTTTTTTTTTAACAGTACAGAAAAGCCTGTGTCAATTAGAATGTTTAATTCTTGAACAGAGGATAGTAGTAAAATTAAAATTTTTTTTCATTGTCAGGACCTGTTAGTACATCTACTTTTATGTTCAGTTGTTAGCAATATTTGTTACCAATGACTTCAGGGAATATATAAAAAAAATGTAAATCATGTTTAGCAATTTGCCATATGTTTATTTGGTTGGCAGTTGGACTTGAATCACACTATTACTTTTTTTAAAGTCAAATATGTGTTGCTTGCTATCAGGCCACAAAATGTTGACCTATTCACTTATTTGTATTTACTAAGCAAATATTGTTAGTCGGCATTTACTTACTTACAAAGTAAATATTTATGTATTGCGTCATGGAGGAGGAAAATTGGTTGAGGAAGTTTCTTAAGACAGTTTTAGCCAAATTAATTTTCAAAATGGGATGTGCTAGTAGTGTAAGGGATGTTGGTGCAGAAAGTGGAATTGGCAATCTGAGTTCAAATTTCCAGCATGTCTGTTGCATTCACTTTTGCATAAGTGCCTTTGGGGAAGGTATGAATCCATTTCCTCACAGCCAGCTAGGAGTTAAAAGGCAGCATAGACTGGGCCCTCCAGATAGCAGTATAGACTGAACTCTCTAACTTTGGGTAACAATCAGTCTAAGAATACAATGCTGAATCCAAAACCATGGAGAAGTCAACAGCAAACCACTACATTATTATTCCTAAGAAGACATGGAAATTCAGATGAAAAAGGAAGCTGTGGTGAGTCATGATCCCCTACATCCTGAAAAGACATAACATGTAAAATCAAATCATCTAAGATTCAATTTTTTACCTCAGCTCAAGTAAAAAAAAAAAAAAAAATACACAACTATCCCAGCCATGAAGCAAGTTTTTATTATAGGTGTTTAGTACAAGGCCACAATTTCGAGGCACCTCATGAAGATTGAAGACTAGTGACATAGCCTATTGTTGACATTGGAAGATGAGATTTCCTATATCTGAGTACTTTCGGTTAACATTTTCAAACGTGTATGCTATATCATCAGCGTAATTTTTAAAATGTTGTGTTGCATGTATTGGCCCTTATTACATTTCATGTAGTCATGTGGAAGTACTGCAAATGTTTTTTTTTTCTTTTCATAGAAATATATTTAATATGTTGGGTCTTAGTTTTGATGTAATTGTGTGTGTGTGTATATATATATATATATATATATATATATATATATATATATATATATATACAAAATAGTAAATAAAATCCATGTAACATGTTTCATCCTTTTAGACTAAAGTGATGTTTATGTTGATGTAATTTCATCAATGTAAACATCAAAAAATCGTTTCTACTTTGTCATTAATTTTCTTACCTTTGTTCTGGTATATAAAATTTATATATCATTCCCCATATATATATATATATATATATATATATACACACACAATTTTCCCCAATATAAAATTTATATATTGTTATCTCATATAGTAGTGTACAATACAACCTGTTTTGTGATTTACATGTGATGTATATTGTGTGTATGTTTAGCATTTAGCTTAGTCTGTATGGTTGTATATTCAATAGAAACCAAAATGACAGTGCTCATGAAAAATTGATGTTGGTGTCTAAATGCTTGACAAAGAGACAAAATCATTTGCTATTTTTTCCAAAATGGGCCAACCCAGCCAGTCATCAATGCTATAACAATGCAGTGTGAAAGCATTAATGTAAAACCTGAAAGTTAATTTTTTTTTTTTTTTTTTTTTTTTTATAACTAATTTTTGTATTTTTCAGAAATATCACATGATTGCTGGGGATATAGTTCTAAAAGTGTTTGATCATGTAACCGTGCAAGTCTACATTGATAGATCCAATGTACAACACATGAAGCTCCACCTGGATCTTGTGGAACCCAAGGTTAGGCAACTCTTTTTCTATACATTACAAGCTATTTCTGTACATCACATTTATCGTATCTGAACTCAAATGTTTTCTAAGCACACAATAAATTTTTAAATGGAAAAGACTCCAGAAATTTATTCTATTTCTCCTCCACAATGACACAGAGAAATGACAACAAGGACCAGGGATGGAACCTGAAATCTATTCCTTTACCACTGAGCTGTCTTTATTTTGTACTGAGTATAGCGTATATGTTGATCCATTATTAATTTTATAAAATAAAAAAAAGTTTTAGGTTGCATTTGGACAAAAATGTTGACCATGCCATATTATGCATTTTCTCCCGGAAACTGTAACTAAGGTCTGCTCAGCACAGTTGCAGTATAAACTACAGGTTGGCTCTGTGGGTGTTGAAGAAACAAAAATGTGCTTGAGCAGGTGTCTGCAACAGGGATTAGCTAGCATCTCCAGCAGATAGCTGTACTCAGATTTGAGCAGCCATGCTTTGTGTATAATTTACAATATATATATATATATATATATATATATATATATATGTATGGCTGGATAGATGTGAGTTTGTGACCCTGGGTTTCACGCTTTAGCGATCGTCAGACACTCAGAATATGTTAGCTCTATCTCTGATATTGAGTGCTTTCTAATAAGTACCGCGCATATAATATATAAATAATTATACATATATATATTTATTTATATTTATATACACTTTTCACACACACACACATATATAATATATATATATATATATAATGCAAGTTTATTTTGAATACCAATGAGTTTTTGTTTATTTCAGATCCCTGGCTTTAGCGTTCCGCCTGTGTCAGAAAATGTGGACCAAAGTGCTGATAATAATGATGAACCAGCAACAAAGAAACGCAAGACAGTTTAAAAGCATCTTATAAGGCCAAGAATCTCATGGAAAAAAAAAAAAACAACAAAGGCTGAAAAGTCAACTTTTATCATTTTATTCTTTACATATTTACATCGTTTCACTGAAAAGACATACAACAAACTGTAGCTGTCAGAATTTTAATTTTTCTCTTAACAAAAAATTTTCATTAATTCTCAACATTTTTTTCCTTTTTAATTTAAAAAAAAAATTCTTATTCCATGAAAAAGCAAATCTTTCAAGCTCAAGAAAAAAGGCTTTTAAAAACTTTTAAAAGATTTCTAGAAATCAAAAATCTCTGTATTTTTTAAAAATTAAATCTACATTTTTACAATTTCTTTACATAGCCTTTCCAGCAATTTTTCTACTTTTTATATATACTTTTTCCATAAACAAAAAAAAAGCTTTCTTTTATCAACATTTGAATGTAAATTTAAATGATGAATTTGAATTGGCTCCTGCCTCTGATGCACTTTTGGGAGTTCAATTTGATGTTTCATTTCAGGCAACAGAAATGTGCTAGACTGGGCTTCTGCCTTTGTGACTCTGAGCAGTAGACATGGTTGTTGCATTCTGTTTTTTGTGATAGTAAAAATTATTTGTATGTATCTCCCTCAGTATTCATTGAGTGAGATTCCAGCAAATGATTAAAAGGTTGTATTTCTAAAGTATTTGCCAATATTCAATTTGAGTTTTCTGCCCCTTTTGAGGGGGTCCTTTTCTCTCCTCTCCTCTCTCCTCTCCTCTCTTCTCTCTCCTCTTCTCTCTCCTCTCCTCTCTTCTCTCCTCCTCTTCTCTTTCCTCTCTCCTCCTCTTCTCTTTCCTCTCTCCTCCTCTTCTCTTTCCTCTCTCCTCCTCTTCTCTTTCCTCTCTCCTCCTCTTCTCTTTCCTCTCTCCTCTTCTCTTTCCTCTCCTCTTCTCTTTCCTCTCCTCTTCTCTTTCCTCTCCTCTTCTCTTTCCTCTCTCCTTCTCTTTCCTCTCTCCTTCTCTTTCCTCTCTCCTCCTCCTCTTCCTCTCTCCTCCTCCTCTTCCTCTCTCTCCTTTCTCTTCCTCTCTCTTCTTTCTCTTCTCCCTTTTTTTTTTTTTTTATTTTTTTTCCTTTTAGAGAAAACTGCATCATAACAAAAGCTTTCCCATTGTTATTTTTTACTTTGATTTGTATGCCTTTTATTTTGTTTATAAATTGAAAAAATAAAACCAACCATGAACCACAAATGCATCATACGATAATCTCAAAGTAAAACCCAGTTCCCATGCCAACAATACACAAATCTCATTCTTTATAGTTTATTAAATTTAATTTTATTTCCCCCCAAATAAAGCGTAAGTAATTTTATATATCTAATCCTATTTGAAAAACATGACATTTTGTGAGATTTCAAATATCCAAGTTAACAGTGAATATGTAAAGTGTAAAAATTGTCTCTCTCTTTATATATATATATATATATATGAAATATAGCATAGTCTGTTGCAAGGCTATAAATGTGTGACACCCACTTCAGTGGTAACAATGGAAATATTAACTTTTATAATATTGCTTATATAAAAAAAAAAAGTCATTGGAATGTCAGTAAATCAGCTGAAAAAAACTTTTTTTAATTAGTGTGGCATTTATTCTTAAATTAGGCAGTGAGATTATCCTGTTGGAGAACAATTGCTAAAAGAATTTCATGGTATCAAATATTAAAAAAAAAAAAAAATTTAAATTTACTTGCAACATTGAATTTTGATCTTTCATAATTTGAAATTTGATTTGCCCAATATTAGGAAAATGTAATCCTGTAAATGAAGTTTAATCCCACTCAAAGACTCTGTCCACATTAGTTGTGTATTGATAATAAATGCCATAGTATTTTTTAAATTCTGTCAGAAATTTAATTCCCTTTACATTTTGGGGCTTAGTGCCCTATCACATGTGAACACCAGGTGCTGTAAGCTTGGGTGTGCAGGTGGTGTAATGGATGACAGTTCAGAAATGGAGATCAGAGATCCGAGTTCCAATTACAGTTGGGTTCATTATATCCACTTAAGTGCAAATACTCTTGGGAAACGTATGAATCCACTTCTCTCCCCCCACATATGAGTTAATTAGTAGGTCTTGTATCAGTAAATCATTATTACCTTTAAAATCTCTTCTTACAATCCAAAAATATATTCTATCTTTAAATAATTTACAAAAGGCTGATTGGCCATAAAAAATATAAATCAAAACTTTTACATTTTGGTAAGATTTAAACAGTCATTTTAAGTGAGTTCCAAACAACTACAACATCTGCCAGAATCTACAAATCCTTTTTTTTTCTCTCTCTCATTCTTTTTTTTTTTTTTTTTTTTTTTTTTTAAAACATCTTGAAAATCTGTTGCAGTTGCCTCACTTTGATTTAATCTTACTGTAGGATTGTTTAGTTAACTGTGTGCAATGCTATTGCATGATCTTGGATCTTGTACAGTGTGTGGTCATGGCATTCACAATGACTAAATGAATAGATTCTGTTGTAGGATTTTTTTTTTTTTTTAAAATATCGCATCACCTATCAACTTCTCCTACACTTGTGATACTATGGACATCCACATAGAAAGGAAAGAGGTGGTTTTATCTTGATCTCAAGTCATTCTCTTTGATAGCTAGCAGAAAGGTTTGATAGCCATTGGAAGGGACATATTCTAGACCATGGATCAAAAGCAACTGATGGGCAATCCTGAACATGGACATTATTGATTATTTTGAAAAATGAAATGAAAATTTGAAAGAAGAATACTTTGAAATGTGATTATATTAACTCTTCATTCTGCCAAAATTCTTCACTGATATCAGATGCTGTCAAAAATGTTGCTGCTATTGGTTGGAACAAGTGCAAGAAAACATAGTCAATATACTTCTTCAGGTTGTCTACAAGATAGATCACCACCCACATCTATCAGCCTTAATTTGTCTCCATGTAATTTTACTATTGAAAAGTGCAGATTTTAGACCATGGATGAGATTAAGAATGCAATTAAACAAATAATGTTGATCAGCTGTCTATATTTCTGAGATGAGTTATTGTAACTATTTACATTATTTGGACTGTTGTCCTCATCTTTATTGTCACATCCATGTCATTTCAGCCGTTGTACTCTCCAGCCTTCTTCAGGTGGTATACATTGGAATTTCAACTTACCTGGCCCAGGGATCCATCCCTGTGTTGGTGGTATCATGGCTATGACCAGTTTGGATCAGCTATGATTAGCTTAGACCAGCTTGGACAAGCTATGACCAGCTTGGACCAGCAGCTCAAGTGAAAACACTCGGGTCCCCATGTTAAAAAATGACCTTGTGTCACAACCTGACTTGGTGTTTGTGGGGAGGGGGTCAAGTAAATCTCTACATTGGAATTTCAAACTGAGCCCTTTATTTTGTCCATGGGAGTAGATTGTTCTAATTCCACATGCCATGCCTATTCAGGATGTCTCTGTTTCAGTTCATTCCTGTTAGTAACTCAACTCTCAAGTTTTGTTCACTTTTTCTGTGGCCAGGTATTGAACTCACAACTCCTTGGGTCCCTAAGGTCATATGGCTCAGTGGGTAAAAATGTTGATTGAATTAATCCAAAAGTGACTTGACCCAAAATGTTGTGAGTTCAGCAACAAAAATGTAAGTATAAATGATTAATAAATAAAAAAATGGGTGATAAACTACACAGTAAAGTTACTGCCATATTGTATCTTCCCTGTGCCTTTTTGTTAAATATTTTAATGTTTATTGTTCTGATAAACTTTTCTCTTTAGTACCTTGACACTGTCATATAGGAAGAAAATGAGTAACTACCTACACTGAGGTTCAAGCATGACACTCTGGACTTATGAATATATGCTTTCTGCCAGGTGTATAAATAGCAGTGTCATGGCAACTGATTGCAGTGATTATTGAATGGAACTATACAGTTCTATTAGTGCGAATTATTGTGTGTCGATGATTTGGTTTTTGATTTAGGATTTACTGGATGTTAAGCTGAGCTGCGTTACTAACAAAGTATTCACTGAAATGGTTAATTATCTTTGGCTGACTTTTACTTCTTTGTTTTTGTTAAGTATTTATTTGCGGTTGTTATTAAATACTGTTTTATCTTATCATTGAAGTCTTGAGTTATACTTAATTATTAACAGCCAACGTTCATTACAAAACTTTGAAATTAAACACAGTACTAGATTGGTGGCAAGGTTTTCATTTTACAGTTGAAATACTTAGATATAACCATAAGTTCTATGCTAACAGTTTCTTTTCTCACACTTCTCGCTTGTGGAACTTTCTTCTGGTTTCTTGCTTTCCAGTCAAATTTGATCTTCAAAAATTTAAATGCAGTGTCAGTTATTATCTTCTGTCTTCTGAATATCTGTTCTTTTATTGTTCTCTCGTCTTAATAATGTTTTGTTTTTCTCATATTCTCTCACACTCACTAACCCCCTTGCATCTTAGTAATTTATTGCCTTGCTTGGGGTGAAATGATTTAAAAAAAATCTATTAAATCCTTTGTGTGTCTCTCACAGTGGTAATTAAAAATTTATATTTTTATGTGTTCAATTATGGTTTCAGATAATTTGAATGACGCATATTACTGATATGCTTTTCTGAGTGTTGTATACTTTCAAGATGTGGGGAGTCATGGCCCTCCACTGCCGTGTGACCCTTAGCAACATTTGTCCCTTTACCACACCATACCACCCTATTCACATAAGCCCATCTGGTAGGTGGCTTGCTGTCTTATCCTGTCTCTCATTGTGTCCTGTGAGTATCAAATTCTCTAAGCTCTCCTTCCTCATTATGTCAAAGAAATTTCAGCTGTCTCTTTCTGATGTTACATATATAAATGTCCTTTTTATTTCCATTTTCTGTAAAACTTTGTCATTGCCCACATGTTAAGTCCATGGTATTCTTAGCATCCTTCTGTAGGACCATAATTCAATTACCTCCAGCATGCACTGTTATACAAGAGGATTGATAATTTTTGTCAGAATTTCTCGGATAGGGAGTTATCATTATTTACACTAATTATATTTGGACTATTGTCCTTGTCCTTGTTTTTCTCACAATATTTCAGCCGTTGTGCTCTCCAGCCTTCCACAAGTGTATATTGATCTGAGTAAATAGAACTGAACCCTTTATTTAATCTATGGGGCAAACTGTTCTTGTTCTAGGGATATCTTGTCTAGTTCTTATTTTCATTTAGTACTGTTCAGTTATTGCACGCCTGTTTTCACTGAATGCAAGTGCACACTGTTCGACCCAGATATTGACCTCACACTGTCACCAAATTCACAAACCAACACTTTTACCTACTAGGACAATTTTCTGTTGCCGCTGTTGAAGATTTGATGTCATTTTTTTTTCTTTCTTACCAGCTTGTATTTATTTCTATGCTGGAATTGATATTATATAACTATTTAACACTCTTTTCTTTGTTTCTAACATTTTCCTGTTTGTACTTTATGCTTTTAGAATGCATCTTTCAGTAAGCCTATACGTGTTTGGATTTCTATGTCACATTTTCGATCCTTTGTTAAAATATTTCCCAGGCACTTAAGCTTCTGTACTTGTTTGATGTTGACATCTCCAATTCATAATCCACATCTTGAGCTTTTTTCTTTTACTGGCAACCATATTTTTTGTTTTCTCACAGGTTAGAACTTTATCTCACTTTGTTTCATTATCCTTTTTACAAGGTTCTGTATTTTTCTTTCCAATTCTGTGTGAATAGAACTATTATGTGTCAAGCTGTAATGGTTCTAAGAGATTGCTTATGCAATAAGCTATGTTGACCCCAGCTGCACCTGTCCAAGTCTAGTGCAATGGAGTTTTCTAAGGGACAGTTTAGCCATTGTAAAAAATCATAGAATAAATTTCATCAGGAGTGCTACTATCCTGATCAAAGAAAAAAATTAGTTAAAAGGGTCACTACAAATGTAATTTAAAATATTTTTAATCAATTTTGGTTCTATATTAAAACTGTTTGATGTTAAAATTCTCATGGCTATAAAGTTAAAATTTCAAAAGAAAAATGGATTTATTTTCCTAAATAATATGAAATCTGATAATTTTTATGGATTATTTTGAAAATCAAATTTGGTGTTTTAATATCAAG